ACTCAGCACTTTCTTCAGAAAAAAGTTCTGATTATGACACTGTTAAACAGGAAGTTTTGAAAGCTTATGAGCTAGTGCCAGAAGCATATAGACAGAAATTTAGGTTTTATAAAAAGTTTGATTCACAAACCTATGTTGAATTTGCTAGGGAAAAGGAAGATCTATTTGATAAATGGTTTACTTCAAAGAAAATAGATAACAATTTTGATAAAATAAGACAGCCTTAATTATGTTATTAGAAGAGTTCAAGCAGTGTGTTCATTTAGACTAAAAACACATTTAGATGACAAAACTGTTGAAACATTACAAGATGCAGCTGTTATTTCCGATAATTATATCCTTTCACATTAAAGAAGTTTCAAAGTCAAAATTTTAATACTTCAAGCGGAAATTACAAAAATCAAAGTACTGAGCGTACTGGTAGTAAGCCTGTTGCACAGAATAAGATTCAGTCTAGTTATGATATGTCTAGTCCAAAATTTTATACTTTTGAGAAGAAGTCACTAACTTGTGCTTATTGTAAGAAAAATGGTCACCTGATGGCTGATTGTTTTAGACTCCAGAAGAAGAATAAAAGAGATAATAAGCCCAAGTCTAGTGCTTGTACGACACCCCTTGTTACCAATAAGTTGGAATGTCCTGCGAGTCAGGCTTTTAAGTCCAGTTTTTGTGATTACATGGAGGATTATAAACCCCTTATGTCTGATGGGTTGGTTTCTATTGTTGATAATACTACTCCTCAGCCTATTAAGATTTTACGGGACACTGGAGCTTCTCAGACTTTATTGTTAGAAGGTGTGTTGCTTATGTCCGAGGAGACTTCTGTTGGTGCCTCCGTTTTGTTACACGGTTCGGAGTTAGGTTGTATAGATGTTCCCCTCCATCGTATTTATCTGAAGTCAGATTTCATTACTGGACCAGTTGTTGTGGGTGTTCGTCCTAATCTCCCTGTTGAGGGTGTTTCATTATTGCTCGGAAATGATCTAGCTAGGAACAAAGTGGTTGCTGAACCAATTGTTACCAGTAAACCGGTGGTGGATGTTAAATCACCTGAAGATGATGATGAACTGTATCCAGCTTGTGTTGTTACTAGGGCGATGGCAAGAAAACAACAAAATGAGGATTTATGAGAAGACCAGTTTGATTACATGGACCTTTCTGACACTTTCTTTGCCTACATTGACGGTTCCTGTGGCTCAGAAAAGGCCATAATAAGACAACCTAGTACTAACAAGCATGTAATTATGTCATGGCCAGACGTGAACAGCCATTCATTAGACAAAAAAAAGTTTGCAGAAGAGCAAAATAAAGACCCTAAGGTTCTTCAGCTCCGCAAGAGGGCTCAACCACAGGAGGAAGCAGACAAAATGGCCGAATGCTACTACCATCAAGACTACATTTTAATGAGGAAATGGAGGCCACCTGATGCTATCCCAGAGGTGGAATGGAGAGTGGTATACCAAGTGGTGGTGCCTACAGTCTATAGGCAAGAAATTATTGGTCTTGTCCATGACACCCCTTTGCTGGACATTTAGGTATAAGGAAGACTTGCCTAAAGATCTTACAGCATTTCTACCGGCCCATACTTAGAAATGATGTCGCAGAATACTGCAAATCATGCCATATATGCAAGGTTGTTGGTAAGCCTAATCAGAAAATACCACCAGCACCACTTCTGCCAATTCCAGCCTATGAAGAACCTTTTAGCCGAGTGCTCATTGATTGCGTTGGACCTTTACCGAAGACCAAAACTGGAAATGCGTATTTATTGACGATCATGTATACATACACTCACTTTCTACTTTTTGCGGTCCGAGAGGCTGTTCAAGAATCCCTTGTTTTTAGTCCCTTTGAGTTGGTGTTTGGTCATACTGTAAAGGGACCTTTAAAATTGGTGAAGGAAAAATGGATTACTCAACACACTGACTTGAATCTTTTAGACTATGTATCTAGATTTAAAGAAAAATTGTATACTGCTTGTCAAATTGCTCAGAAAAACTTAAAAACTGTTCAGAATAAGATGAAAATATGGTATAATAAAGATGCCAGGGACAGAGTTTTTGAGCCTGGTGATAAGGTACTAGTATTTTTGCCAGTCCCTTGACATCCTTTACAGGCTAAATATTGTGATCCTTATACCATAGAGGGCAAAATTAATGATTTGAATTATATTGTAAAAACACCAGGTCGGCGTAAACAAAATAGAGTGTGTCACATTAATATGTTAAAACCATATTTTGAGCGTACTAATGAAGATGAGAGTAAACCAGTTGCCACTTTAGCCATGGTTGAATTGGAGAAAGATCATGACAAACCAGATATCATTGAACCACTTTTTGATTCTAAGACTATGGACGAGACAGTTAGATTAGAAAATTCAGAAATCTTGTCAAATTTGGACTCAAAACTTGCACATCTGACTTTTGATCGCTGAGAAAAATTGAAAACTTTGGTATTTTCTTTTAAAAATCTTTTTCCAGATGTGCAAAACAAAACCACTGCTGTTTGTCATGATGTTGATGTAGGCAATGCTTCTCCAATTAAGCAACATCCTTACCGGCTCAATCCACTTAAACTTGATTTTATGAGATAAGAAATTAAATATATGCTTGACAATGATATTATTGAGCCGAGTAACAGTGAATGGAGCTCTCCTTGTCTCCTTGTGCACAAACCGGATAAATGCTTTCGTTTCGTGACTGATTTCAGAAAAGTAAATTCAATTTCAAAATCTGATTCCTATCCGATTCCAAGGATAGACGACTGCATTAATAACATTGGACAAGCAAAATTTGTAAGCAAATTTTATTTATTGAAAGGTTACTGGCAAGTACCATTGACACAGAGAGCTCGTGAAATATCAGCTTTTGTCACACCAGACGGCTTAATTCAATATACTGTCATGCCGTTTGGTATGAAAAGTGCTCCAGCTAGAAAGAATGATCAATAATGTTATTAAAGATTTAGACTGCTGTTATGCTTATATTGATGATCTTATTGTATGTTGTGATAGCTGGGAAGAGCATTTAACACATTTATATGATACTTTTGATAGATTGTCACAATAAAATTTGACTGTAAATCTTGGTATAAGTGATTTTTTTCAGGACACTGTTGATTATTTAGGGCACACAGTTGGCCAAGGTCAAGTGAAACCTATTACGGATAAAGTGGATGCAATTACCAAATTTCCTCCTCCTACAAATAAAAAACAACTTATGAGATATTTAGGCATGATTGGATTTTACAGGAAATTCTGTTTAATGTTGCTACTGTTGTTCAACCATTGACTCATCTTTTACGGAAAGATTCTTTTATCTGGAGTGATAATTGTCGAAACGCTTTTGAAAATAGCAAATCACTTTTAGTTAATAGTCCAGTTCTGATCACTCCAGACTTTGAAGAACAATTCAAACCTGCCGTTGACGCAAGTGATGTAGGAGTTAGAGCTGTTTTATATCAAGAAACAGATGATAATGTTGAGAAACCTATTTCATATTTTTCTAAGAAATTAGAAAAACATCAGAAAAAAAAATTATTCAACTATTGAAAAGGAGTGTTGTGCACTGTTGTCTGCTCTTCAACATTTTGATGTATATTTTAATCCCACTATGCCTCCTATTCTGGTTTATACTGATCATAATCCTCTCACCTTCATACAAAAAATGAGAAACAAGAACCAAAGGTTGACTAGGTGGAGTTTATTGTTACAGGAATATGATGTTATTGTAAAACATATTAAAGGTAAAGATAATGTAATAGCAGATGCTTTATCTATATCTTATTAAAACACTGTATACATACTATGTATTTTTGTATATATATTGTTCATGAAAAATTCTTGTTACACTCAAACCTTTTTTAAGGGGGGAGGTGTAATTATTATATTTATTTAGCTTGGACTTATTTGTTTTGTGTGGCCTTATAACATTTATAATATGTTTACATAATAATTATAGTTGTTTACAAAATAACTGTGTAGTTTAGAAATCACTGGAATAATCATACTGATGGAATGATTAGAACTTTCTATTTGACTTACATAATAATTCTAGAATGATCATAATCTACGATGTGTAATTAAAACTTCTATCATATTCTAGAAGTTTCCGTTCTACGGTTTTCTAGGAGTTTCCCTTCTACAGTGTTCAAGAGATTTCCGTGACAACTATATATATATATACAGACACTAAAGTTAGATTTTCGGATTAGACATTACCATTCTTGTATTCTCAGAAGTTCTCTCAGTTGGATTGACATATTTACGTTAACTACAACATACTAGATTGTGGCTTATTGGACATAATATTCTGTTTGGATTCCCGCGAAGAACTCCGGATAAAGAAAAGACAAAAGATCGGACATATATTTTGACAGTTAAGTTGACTTTTCTATTTGTGTAATACTTCTTGTAAACTTGTGTATAATAAATCTTGTTAAATTTTATTATTGATTTGTGTCTTTTGTTGGCTATAATTTAAAGGTGATTTCTGGCCGTAACAGTAAAGAAATTTGAAGTAGAATCAAACAATTTATTTAAAAATGCATATTAGGTGGGGGATAATTGAAATCATTTGTATAACTAGAAAATTCGCTTTATTTTTTATTTATTCATTTTTCTGTTTCATCAAAGCTTTCATATACATATGGGCCGGGTGTTAAAAGACCTTAATTATCCACGAGAGTCTCATACAGTCGGCACTGGCTTACGCCTTTCTTGGTAATGATTTATATAATGTAATTTTACCTTACGGTATTAAATGTAATTTGAGAAAAAAATAAAAAAAAAAAAAAAAATAAAAAAATAAAAAAAAAATAGATAAATAAATAAATAAATGAATAAATAAATAAATAAATAAACAAATTAACTGGAATATGCTTATATTTACGCTACGCTCAAACTATGAACAAAGTGTAGTAGTCAGCCGAGAACCAGCTTAATAAATAAATAAATGCCCGGTTTGATTTAACACGGATGGTTTTGTATAGACACCGACTACAAAGGGAGATAATTGTCAGGAATACGGTGAACCCGCAAACCACGCCCAAGATTTGTTTGTAAACAAGTTTTATTCGGAATTGATATTTTAGTAAGTTTTTGTCGAATATAATGTAGTATGTATTTATCACTCAGTTATTTGCAACAAACAACAAAAATATACCAAATCAAATACATAGAGAGAGGAGATGCCAAAAATTTATAAAAAGCCAGAAGACTACACCCAAATATTGCAAAATATTATCAATTATGAAAATCAAAAGCCATTAGACCGAAGTATAGATCAACACAAATGTTAACATACAGCAAATGTAAAAAATGAAGCTTTGTATAAAAAGGAACTCTCATTTAAATAAGTAGCACACTACTTAACACTCCCATTTAACTGTTTAAATAAGGAGCACACTACTTAAAACAAGTTCCAGTCACAATCTGAAATAATCTTACAACTCTCTTTTATCATGTTAAACCAATTAAGTTCATTTTAGGTGCCCATTATCTGAGCTGAACAATCCAAATATTGGGAACAAAATTATGTTTGATTAATATGAGGCATGTCCTGATAGTTGTATCAACTCTTCTACCATTTATGCCCCTTCTGGAGCATATAAGAAGGTCATAATGGGAGGTACTTTCATGACGAATAATGGTGAAAAATCTTGCCAAATGATGTTAACCGTAATTTTTGGTGCATGACTGCATGACGATAAAAAAAAATCGACTGATTTTAAAGAATCCCATTAAATTCTTTCCAAAAATAACTGTTACAGATAATTAATTAAGACTTCTGATGAATCACGATAAGGATATTTTGACGACACAATAAAATTTAACCAATTTAATGCTAATCCGAAAATGACCGTTTGACGCCAGATGGTAAAGGGCATTCCTACCCTTATATATTGATTTATATATTGTTTAGCAAAAACAATGTTTTGAAATATTCTTTTGATGAGTGTGATGATTTTTGTCACAAATTTTCTGTGATATTTTATGGGAAAAGGACCAGTTGAGTTACTGTCACTAATTACACTCTCCACTTAAAGATAGGAATTTATTGCAAGCTTATAGAAGAAGAAAAATATTTTATTCCAATGACAGGCCCTGAAAACATGAACATTTGACATAACAATAACATTATAATTTGAGATTAAAACAAATAACACAATAAAATATATATTCCTTTGTCATGTTTAACTTAACTTTTCCAAATCAATGATTTCTTGTTACTGTAGACCATGTAGATAGAAAATTTCCCTGTCTTTTCAGAATCAAACAAAACATAAATTTTACAAATACATGTAAATGAATAAAAAACATTTGTCTGAATTAAACAGCAATATGTGTATGTCATATTTTTGCTACAGGTCTCACTCTGTTATAGCACTAAACGCCAGGTTACAGTGTTTGTCACTGACAGTATCTAGTCCTTGACCAATAGCTAGGTATTAAGTTTAATTTAGACAAAGGTGAAGGTATGATAAGACCATGTTTTTTTAACTCCTTGAATTTGAAAATCAAAAAGTATTACAAATGTATCAAATAACATCCTTCAGATGTTCATAAGACATTACTATGTGGGACATCAATGCTCATATAATTATTTTTGTCTTTAGAATATTTCTTTTAGCATGTTTAGTGTAAAAAAAAGCTGCCAAAATAGCCTCATTTTGAAATCTTAAAATTAATATTTAGATATGAGCAAGGACGTATATTAGATTAGTTATACGTCCTTGATATGCATGATATGAGCAACCCCTAAAAAAGTTTTTCTTCAAAATGTATTTTAGAAAGAATAAGATGATAATCTGTGTAAAATATCTTTTTGGGTAAAGCTGTTGCTCATATATATTTCAACATGTTTATGAGGTCTTAGTGACATCACAAGTGATCTTTCTGCACTTAAGTGTCCAGATTATAATTACTTGTTTATCAATCAATAAAATTTACATTATTTTGAAAGGGTAGAATAAGTTAACTCTTTTTGCAACTTCAGTGGCCAAATAATATAATGGCTCTTATAGCATCCTCATTTCTACTAGATAAGTCAATGTAAGTACAATTAGATAAAGATTTATTTTGTATGGATGCAACTAGAGAAGTCGAAAGTAAGTGACGTTACTCTGACCTGCATTTCACAGTTCATTGATTTACCAGATTATAGCTGTTCTCCCCAGAATTGTCAAATAGTACTGTTTTCTTAAAACTTGTGTATATCTTCTAGGACCACATTTACAATACATTCTGTTTTAAAATCTATCCAGATTGCACCATGGTGGCATAGGGCTACATGGCTTTAGGGAGATTACTAGAATCTATTGTTAGTATTAAGTTTTACATCTGAACTTAAGTATCAGGTATTAACTGACTGTTAATGATATAACTTGGTGTAAAGATTCACTCAGGGGAGTGTTAAAGCCTTCAGTAAAACAAAGGTCACTCATCAATATTATATGCTTCATTGACTTATACATGTTTACATATATATATATACTGATGTTCACAATCTGTGTTTATTCCCCACACACTTTAGTAACCTACAGTCTGAAATTTTAAACAAAGTTTTATATCAGCAATTTCTCAGAGGAGTTCAAAAATTAGCACTGATCAACTTTTTCTACAGGAGCTATGTCATCTGGTAATATAACGACATGGCAAATTGGAGTGTAAGCACTCTTATGTCTACGCTAATTGTGGTGTTTTTATGAAATTTAAATCGAAGGTTTATACCAGCAATGTCTCGGGTACCAATGTAACATGTAACTAGAATTTTATCAATTCTCAAAATTTAAGATTCAAAGAAATAAAAAAAAAGGAATATTTGTTACTAAAACAAAAAATACCTAAATCTCTTATAAAGTTATAGTCGGTACAAACTGTTTAAGAAAATAGGAGTCATTATTTGATATTTTTAAAAGTTTTTGGTTGCCATATCTACAGTGTGAAAAAGTGTCAATTTTGATGTGGAATAATGATAATAACATGTCACAATTTACTTTTTGACATATATTAAAACAGGGTTCTCACTAAGGCAACTCTGTGAGTTCTGGAGTCATGAAAATCTCTCAGGACTTGTCATTTCCAAAACTGGTGAGTCCAAAGACGCATCAAGATCGTGAAATGTTGTATCAACTGAGCACATATGTCATCATTTAATTTTTATAACAAAAGTTTTAAAAAATAATCTCAATCTCTGCTCTTTTAATGTTTGTTATGGAGACTAGAATAATAAATTATATACATGTAGCAATAAAAAAAAATTTTACATTGTCATGACTGTTGGACTCGCCATGGCCAAAAATGATGAGTCCCAGGACTCACTTCAAAAATCTTGAGTTTGTGAGAACCCTGAATTAAAGAAATAGCAATTGTATCATTCAATGATTCATGCTTAAAAATTAAATTTTCTTCATAAAAGTCCAACTTGCATATTTTTTTTACTGATTTTTTTTGTTTTTGTTGTTTTCTTGATGTTCCTTTAAAAACCTACCAGTAATGTTAAACTCATAAAAAAATTATATTAAAGATATATATTTAAAACTACAACAAAATGTATATATATAATATCAATAACTTGCAATAAATATTGATAACTTTACTTCCATGAATTAAATCGGACTATTTAAATGTTCACCTATGATTTTAAATGTACATGTACAATGTAATATTAGTTTAATTTAGTTAAATAAAAATGTCTGGAATTAAGTATCCATTTAAAACAGGCGTGAGTGTTAAAGACATGACCTAAAGTATGTTGTTCCAGTATCTAGGCACAATAGTAAATAGAGAGTTTTCTATTGTAATTTAAAAAACCGGCAGATAATCTATAATTAGCACACAGATCAATAACCAATATCTAGGTTATCAATCAGCGACACAGGTAAGAGGATAATTTGGTTTCAGATTATCATGATTATAACAACAGTTAGAGGATAATTGATAAAATAATGTATATTTGTAGAAACTAAACAATAATACTACTGGTATTTATTTTTTTATTAAATTAATAGACATGTTTAACTTGCATGACTTGTGTTTGTAAATAAGTTATTTCAACATGTACAAGCTAAATTTTGAAATGATATATGTAGTAAGATGTCTAGGATAAACCTGTTCTACAACAACAGGTAACTGAGGTTGTACATTTAAAATAGTTCTGTTAATAGATATAAGAAGATGTGGTATGAGAGCCAATGAGACAACTCTCCATCCAAGTCAAAATTTATAAAAGTAAACCATTATAGGTCAAAGTACGGTCTTCAACACGGAGCCTTGGCTCACACCAAACAGCAAGCTATAAAGGGCCCCAAAAATTCCTGGTGTAAAACCATTCAAATTGGAAAACCAACGGTCTAATCTATATAAAAAACGAGAAACACTTATGAACCACATCAACAAACGACAACTACTGAACATAAGATTCCTGACTTAGGACATGTATAGGTGCAAACAATTGCAGTGGGTTTAAACGTTAATGCATGTTCTGGTATGGGCATAATAATAAGTGCACTTTGTGAGTTTAAAATGCATTTACCTTCTTTATTTAAAATCAAACATAGGTTGTTCAGTTCATAGTGCACTTTAAATAATTGTTAAGATGCCCCTTCCTCTATCAGGTTATTCCCCTTGCTCATATACCATGTATACATTTGTCATTTAAGATGCAAAGCTTTTTCTTTTTGGTGCATTTTCTTTTACTTGGAGAAATTTCAATCCATACATGTATTTTCTTTCCTTGTGAGAAAAATTGTGTGTTTTAAGTCACAAAAGGTGTTCCAATTATTTATATTACATAAGATTGTAAATAAAGAGATGATGTAACATGACAATTACATATATTTATAAAGTATTAACACAGTCTTATGAGGTAGGTATTACATACAACCTATTTTATAATCCCTGACATTCAACAACTGTTTAAACAGTGTAAACACACTAATATTACACATGCACAGAAATTCTCCCACATTGATTATTTGAGCTATAACTGAATTGAAGGAAGTTTAACTAACATGGGGAAACTCATTAGTCACAAAGAATAGAAACCTGTAAAAATTATAAAATTGCACAATTGTTAGGTTTTTGGAGTACTGGAAAAGAACTTGCTAACATCATGTATAAACACTCTGACAAATGATAAAACCATTGTAAAAAGCCTGATATTGAGACTATTCATTGTGGCATGGAGATTGCAGTCAACAAAACTTGTTTGAATTAATGCGAGGAATAAGGTCTAGAAGCAATCTTTTTATGAAGTTTATATTTCCAGCTGGTTATTACCAAAGGGTTATTGAGGTATACATTGTAATTATATGGGCGGACATTTGAACTTCAATTCAACAGTAAAACCAATGGATGGCTTTTTGGGGTGGGGGCACTTCCATCCTATTATGGTAGGGATCTGCAGCTGAAACATCCAGAACCCCACCCTTTTTATATATTTTGAATATTAAGATATATATTTTTTTACTAGAATTAGACTTTTAGCTATGATCATGAATGATGATTATATTATTTCATAGATGAATAAATTTGACAAATATCTGATGCATTAATAACTGGTTTTAATCATATGTACAGTATTAAAAGTACTGCAGACATCTGATTAGTTTCAGGTTGTTATATGATTATCATACATATATTGTGGATTTATTATTATTCATGGGATACCAATGTTAGTGCATTTTGTAGGAACAGGTAAACCACAAATTTAAATGTTCAACAAATTACAAATTTTCTATAGGTTTGTATGCAGACTTTGGCTAAACCTTGAAATCAAATATCCATGAAAATTGGTACCCATGAAAATAAAAGTAATCTACAGTAATCAACAACCTTGCCATATATTTCATCTAAATTTCTCATCCTTACCATACATTAACAAGCTTGAATTAGCTACCTATTACAGTGACTTATTCCTCTCACTCATTAAAAAGTAAGTAGTCACTCCCTTCCCTTGGCTGTTGGGTCATCCATGTATTAGTGCATGAGTTATAAGTAAGTAATCACTCCCTTCCCTTGGCTGTTGGGTCATCCATGTATTAGTGCATGAGGTATAAGTAAGTAGTCACTCCCTTCCCCTGGCTGTTGGGTCATCCATGTATTAGTGCATGAGGTATAAGTAAGTAGTCACTCCCTTCCCTTGGCTGTTGGGTCATCCATGTATTAGTGCATGAGGTATAAGCAAGTAGTCACTCCCTTCCCTTGGCTGTTGGGTCATCCATGTATTAGTGCATGAGGTATAAGCAAGTAGTCACTCCCTTCCCCTGGCTGTTGGGTCATCCATGTATTAGTGCATGAGGTATAAGTAAGTAGTCACTCCCTTCCCCTGGCTGTTGGGTCATCCATGTATTAGTGCATGAGGTATAAGTAAGTAGTAACTCCCTTCCCCTGGCTGTTGGGTCATCCATGTATTAGTGCATGAGGTATAAGTAAGTAGTCACTCCCTTCCCTTGGCTGTTGGGTCATCCATGTATTAGTGCATGAGGTATAAGTAAGTAGTCACTCCCTTCCCCTGGCTGTTGGGTCATCCATGTATTAGTGCATGAGGTATAAGCAAGTAGTCACTCCCTTCCCCTGGCTGTTGGGTCATCCATGTATTAGTGCATGAGGTATAAGTAAGTAGTCACTCCCTTCCCCTGGCTGTTGGGTCATCCATGTGTTAGTGCATGAGGTATAAGTAAGTAGTCACTCCCTTCCCCTGGCTGTTGGGTCATCCATGTATTAGTGCATGAGGTATAAGCAAGTAGTCACTCCCTTCCCTTGGCTGTTGGGTCATCCATGTATTAGTGCATGAGGTATAAGTAAGTAGTCACTCCCTTCCCCTGGCTGTTGGGTCATCCATGTATTAGTGCATGAGGTATAAGCAAGTAGTCACTCCCTTCCCCTGGCTGTTGGGTCATCCATGTATTAGTGCATGAGGTATAAGTAAGTAGTCACTCCCTTCCCCTGGCTGTTGGGTCATCCATGTATTAGTGCATGAGGTATAAGCAAGTAGTCACTCCCTTCCCCTGGCTGTTGGGTCATCCATGTATTAGTGCATGAGGTATAAGCAAGTAGTCACTCCCTTCCCCTGGCTGTTGGGTCATCCATGTATTAGTGCATGAGGTATAAGTAAGTAGTCACTCCCTTCCCCTGGCTGTTGGGTCATCCATGTGTTAGTGCATGAGGTATAAGTAAGTAGTCACTCCCTTCCCCTGGCTGTTGGGTCATCCATGTATTAGTGCATGAGGTATAAGCAAGTAGTCACTCCCTTCCCTTGGCTGTTGGGTCATCCATGTATTAGTGCATGAGGTATAAGTAAGTAGTCACTCCCTTCCCCTGGCTGTTGGGTCATCCATGTATTAGTGCATGAGGTATAAGTAAGTAGTCACTCCCTTCCCCTGGCTGTTGGGTCATCCATGTATTAGTGCATGAGGTATAAGTAAGTAGTCACTCCCTTCCCTTGGCTGTTGGGTCATCCATGTATTAGTGCATGAGGTATAAGCAAGTAGTCACTCCCTTCCCCTGGCTGTTGGGTCATCCATGTATTAGTGCATGAGGTATAAGTAAGTAGTCACTCCCTTCCCTTGGCTGTTGGGTCATCCATGTATTAGTGCATGAGGTATAAGCAAGTAGTCACTCCCTTCCCCTGGCTGTTGGGTCATCCATGTATTAGTGCATGAGGTATTAGCAAGCAGCATCATCTGATCAGAATGAGGACATTATATCTGATGCCCCTAGAAGGTAGATTACTAGGTTCTCTCCACATTTAAAGACCCTTTCAATAACTCTTTGAGGGGACAGCAGATGGCAGGTTAATAAAATGTTTGCCCAAATCTATTATACAATGTACATAATGTACCCTCTTTTTTGAGTGGGATGTGCTTATAAATCAAAGTTCATGTAAACTTATTATTACATAGCAAATTATTAAGATGTATACAGAGGAAACATAATGTTTGGCAGACAAGATTTTATTTGTAAAGGAGTCTGCTTTACATGTCAATAGGGATGGCTATAAATAAAAGGACCTTCACTAATAATTCAAAAGTAAAGTTAAAAATGTCCTGTTAAAAGGAGGTGAAAAAAGTTCTTATCTAATGATATCACCTCCTCTAGTTCATATTGAAAACAAGATGGAAAGTTACTGATGTGCAAACACATGAGCTTCGTCAGATAGAAATCGACCTTATGCAAATGAATATTAATACATCTTTTAACCTATTTAAGAATGAAAAAAATCTCTTCGGGAAGTCTGTAACTGTTTGAAAATTGAGTTGTCATAAGAACCCTAAAAAACACACCAGCATTCACCTTTTATTTCGTATTTGAATATTATAAAATCAATCAATGTCGTATACATGTACATGCAAACGTGCACTTACATAAGGTCGATTTCTATCCAACGCAGCTCATATGTTAAAACAAAAGGACAAATACCAGCTTGTAAAGTATAATAACAGTTGGGGGGGGGTTACTTAAAAAAGGTTTTTTTTAAACACTTGTTTAAGAAACATTTCTTTATTCCCTGAAGTAGACCTAGGACATACTGTGAATCATTATTATTCATATGGGATATCAATTTTTGTGGATTTCTCAGGTATACATGTAGGTACATGTACATGTACTACATTACACCATGACCTTCAAAACCACAAAAATGAAATATTATCGAAAATACAGTTTTCCTCAATCTACTATATTTGGTACCCACATGTACAAGAGTAAATGAATTCACAGTATTTTGTCAATTATAAAAAAGTTTCATATGTCATTCAAAATACATGTAGCTAGAATGTTCATTAATAATTAAGATATAGCCTGAAAGTAAATGTTACTTCAACAAGAAATTTATGTATTTTAATATGGTTTCTTAACTGAATAGAACAGACAAACTTTCTTTTCAGATGATGATATTCCTATATCATACATTTTACAAAGGTCATAGTGTATAACCTCTAGACCTCTAGATGTCATTACTGTTGTTGGGCTACTGTGTTGTTGGATCTCATTGACATGTTCTCTAAATCTTTTATGCATATTATTCATAATTTAAAAAAAAAATTTTTTGAAGATTTTAATGTTTGCTGTAAATGTGAATATTGGTATAATGACATAAAGCCGTGTTTATTTCTATGAGGAATTATTCTGCAGTGAATAAACAAATAATACATACAATTTATTTATTCATGCTGTAGTAAAATTAATATATATTTTTATTTTTCAGTATTTTAAGATATAAGAAATATTATAGTAAAGAATGTCCTATCCAAAGTCAGAAATGGCAGGTGCACCACCCCCAGGTCCTGCCCCTGTTGTGGCACAACCAGGAGCAGGTATTGTACTTTTATATCTTAATTTGTCTTAAACATTTTTATAAACATTCATGTCAATTATGACTGATGGCCATTTCGGGGACTTACTTGGGCCGTAGTCCATTATAGAAACCACAATAAATTGCTGACAGCTTGGGGCAGAAGATTCTTTCTAAATATTGTATTAGATCCATTGTCCCAAGGTCCAAGCAAGTCTCCAAAAAGACTCAGACTTCAGAGCAATCTACCTATTTTAAGTCTATTGAAAAAAAACATGCCTGTTGTTTACTTTTCAGTCAACACTGCACAATATGAAAAAAAGCACAAACATTCAAATTACTTGTTATATCTTCTTAAGTGAATATTTATTTCTATTCACAAAAAAAAAAAAACTACATGAATTCAAAACTTTAAATTAATCAAATGGTTTTACAATGAAATAAACACATAAGTTGCTGTTTAAAGATATGAAGATGGTAAATTTACAAATGGTAGCAGGTGAGGTTTGCAATAGTGTGCTAATAATTATCTTGTTACATTGTACAGTTGGGTAAACTCATTGTATATGTACATTTACATATCAGTGTATACATGGGAACTTCAGTTGTCAGAATTTATTGTCATTTGAATTCTTTGACCTACTAAAATAAAGTCCCATTTGAAATTTTGAAAATAAATTTATATATTCTCCAGTGTTTGACCATTGAAGTTCTACTGTATATTATCAACATTTTAACTCTCATGTTTCCATATTGTAACAGTTCATTGCTAATGCTATTAGTGGTTTATTTCTGTTACTTTTGCCTGTATACAGATATTAATATAACTTTCTTTGTAATAGTTAAAACTATATATGATCATATATACCTAAGTTCTGGCAAATATCTGGCAGTTACATTCACAAAAATTTTGACAAATAGAAAAATCATGTCACAAAACTTACTCATTCTTTCAATCTTTGTTATCAATTTAACTTGATAACACTATATGTATATATTGATCAGATGTTCTGCACATTTATATTGTGAAATAGCAGCCATAAGACACAATGTTAATGTCAAAATTTGTTAGCTACTGAGCACAACAAATAAGCCAAAACGCTTCACATTGTGTCGAGCAGGTGATATTTTATGATATCTATATGCAGAAACTACAGAGTGACTGAACATGGTTATAACGGTGCAGGGAAGTACAAAATGTACATACCATAATGTTCAGTATTATTGAATCTACATTTGTACTACAAAGTATGGAAATAGCAAGTTACTAATCACAATTACAGTGTTAAAATGAATGTTCTAAAACTTTGGCGATATAATTACAAATGAACTGCTGTTTTAGCATTGCTTGAAACTAACATAAACATGATAAATGATGGAATACTAGGGTGCATGTTATTATATTTTAAAACTGTTTTTACAATTTTGATTGATGCTGTCTTAAATTTGCTTGTGTTTGAATTTTTAGCTCCAACTGATGGTAGGCCAGCATGATGCTTTGTAGAGGCATACAATGGTCCTGTGCATGCTGGTTTACTACAAGATTCCAGTTTTGTTCATTCATTTTACATTTTGATTTATAACTCTCTTGTTTTGGATAAATAGTTTACAAGTAATCAGTACAATTAATATCTGATTATGATTAAGAATAAACATTATCAACATATATTTTGTAAAATAATGTTATGCTACTAAATAAAAGAAACAGAAAAATATTTGACTAATATATAAATAGGAGCAATGATTGGAATCTTGTATTACAAGTAACAATTGTAATGTCAATGAAAATAGTAAAAATGTTTCAGTGGATCTTGTTCAATATAACACGGGAGGACTTGTTCTGCCAACTAGTAATGTGTAGCTATAGGCGTAGTCAAGAGTTTAAAAGTATATACTATTTTTCACCTTTTTCTCTAATTAAACCTAAATGGCCAACATGAGGCCAAATTTGTTAGGAACATTAAATGGACTGTAAAATATAATAACTTTTCTTTCCATCCTGACCACACAAGGTATAATGCCACCATAAACATGATTCTGATTATAGAATACTTAATTTACTCATTTCTCTCCCTAGAAGCTACAAGGTATGAACGTTGTAAGAATGATTAATGTTTTCTATTGAGAGTTATAATTAAAAAAAAATTTGGCTACATTAAACACAAGATTATCATTGCATATTTTCTTAACAATTAAAATGCCACTTGTTGAAATCTCAGCCTTAAGCAACAAAATAAATCAAGGATAATGTTCTTTTATCTATATCTTATAAATTCACTTTGAATTATTGGTGTATTTATTTATTAGATATAGTTAAATTTCTAGACATTCATTTCTGACTTCTTTGAAATTTGTATTTATCATATTTTAAAATCACAGAAATATTCAAGTCAAATTATGAAATAAATGCATTTAGACATGTTTACTATGTTGATAGGTAAATATTGGTTATTTTATGTTGATTGCATGAGTAACTTTTGTGATATTGTGTGTTTTTTTTTTTTATTTCTTACACAAGAAAATTTACAATGTACAAAACATAGTGTTCTGCAGTAGGAATAAAGTGATGACTTTCCAAATAATAGATATACTTTTAAACTCGAGTTTTTTGTTTGTATTTATGATTTTACCATATGCTGTAAATCATTGCACAGTAGTTAGTTTTTCTTCTGAATGACTTACTAACAATGCACTTACTGTTAGCTACATGCTTTTACTGTGAAATTATCCCTCCTTTTCTTTTATTGTTATAAATGAAAAATTCAAACAAGAAGTAAATTGCACTATATGTTTACAATGAAATTAAACATTTAAAGCATGATTTGAATTTGTTTTGCTCAAAATCAATATTTGTGAATTTTCACATAAAGTATATTAGTTTATTGGTCCACTCTCTCAAGATAAAAAGCATGTTGATCTTCCCATGCATGTACAGTATCAAGGCATTCCTTATTAGCAATACAAATCTGATTTTTAGTTTCTTATTAAATGTATTTTTCTTGCATGCTGAGTATTTTCTATTTTTTTTCTGGGAACATCATCATTTTGCATGGCAGTTATGACTTTTCCTCCCAACACAGGGATTTGTGATGAAAGCAGGCATTTCTTTTTACAAATTTAGTTACTTATATTTAAGCTGTGTAGAAGATGCTATAAACATAATACAAGATTTTATAATTTACAGTTCATCATTCCTACAATTGTGTAAAAAATAAACAAAAAACTCAAAGAAATTGAAAAACAATTTATTGTACACTTATAACATGTTTAGTAAGTGAATATAAATTAATGTTATGATGAAAAAATTTACGTTGGATAATTCTTAAAAGGTTGATGAAGGTATATAAATATATATACATTTTATGAATAATTGGAAATAAGAGATACATACCAAAGAATTAGAACAAAACAACATAATAAAACCATAAAAGGCATGATACAATCAGAAGATGTACCATATTTATTTGCTGAAATTTCCAAAAGTCATCCAATATAATGAGATGCATTTCAGCTAAAGAAAGATAAAGAATCATATGACCTTGAAGCAAAGGAACAGAAGCTGTTTTTGGAAAAGTACTTGAAATCATTCTATGACTTTTTCATGTTTAAATTACTTGATTTCTTGCTTTTTCTTGCTTTTTATGTATGAAGGCTGTAGAGTTCCTCTTTTTACTTTCTTCTCAATATTTTACTTTCTCTTTAATGTTTTATTTTCAACTTTGATGTTGTAACTTGATGTTGTACCATTACAGGGGCTCCTACACAATGGGCTGCGGCAGGACAAGCTCCTCCCGGATGTCCAAAGGGACTGGAATATTTGGCCGGTGTAGATCAGTTATTAGTTAAACAGAAAGTTGAAGCAATCGAGGGTATGTATATATATTTTTATAGGTGTATCTGGACAGAATTGGGCAACAGCTCCACAAGGTGAATTTTCATGTCCAAAAGGATTAGAATATTTAGCATCTGTTGATCAGCTTCTTGTTAAACAAAAAGTGGAGGTTTTGGAAGGTAAAATTAACCTTTAATGAGATTATCATTAGAGAATTTTTTTCTCCCAGTTTCTATTAAGAAGTATAATTTGAATTCAGCTTATTGTGAAAGGAAACTCAAAGAGATATCTTTATTCTAGCACATTTCCAATGTGTAACTTATACAAAATTGTACACATGAAAGAAAAGCCTACTGGAAGTGCCACTTGTAAAATTTGAAAAAAAATTGATAAAAAACAAGCCCATGCAACAGTGTTATAGGCTTTAGTGATCTAATGTAGTTATAAATATGTGCTGAATCAATATGGCCTTTAATCTGCACACACACATTTTATTTTATACTAATCATTCAATTAGAGTTGAATTAAGTAATGAATGATAATAGTACAGAGAATTCTGGTGAAGGCAAAACCAGGAAACTATAATATCATAATATAAATATTAACCTTAATATTAAATGCAAAATTTGAATTTCAACTTCTGTAAAAAAAAAAATACTCTGAAGACAGTTATAAGTTGATTATTGAAAATTAAATGGTTTTGATTTTATATAACTCTAGAACATCTTGCAAATTACATCACTAATGAAATAATTCTGTATATTTTTTAGCCATCACTGGATTTGAAACAAACAACAAATATGATATTGTGAATTCTCTGGGCCAGAGAGTATACCAAGCTGTAGAAGGTAGGATAGAATGTAGCATTTTGTTGAAATCTGTCAAATATTGAATCATACAGACCTGAAATTAACCGCCTCTTTCTGCAGAAATAGTTTTTGTCTGTGTCAGACAGTAGATTTGAAAGATTCTTGGACTTTTTGCCCTTCTTACATTTTATCATTTGAAAACTATAAAATGTTGTCACTAATTCCAAAATAGAGTTTATATTAATACTTCTATAAATGAAAACTTTTTTCACAGAAAAAATAAGCATGTCCAACTGGCAGATTTCATCTGACCGTGGCCCATTTTAATGGTTCATTGGTCAATGTTAATAAGTTTTTTGTGGTATGGTCTGTTTCTCAGATACTGTAAGCAATAGGTTCACTGTATTGGTGTATGGAGAGAATTGTAAGGTAACATTGCAGGTTTCATCTGACCTTGGCCTCATTTTCATGGTTCATGGGTCAATGTTAAGTTTTTGGTGGTGTTGTCTGTTTCTCATGTACCATAAGCAATAGGTTAGCTATATTTGGTGTATGAAAGGATTGTAAAAGGTGCTTGTCTATCTTTCAGGTCTCTTCTGACCTTGACCTCATTTACATGTTAAGTTTATTTGATTTTAATAGGTACACCTTTATCTAAAAGAACTTGATCAGTAAAGCAGGTGAGACATTTCAGTGTTATTACTTTTACTGCTACCTTTTCACTTTTACTGCTACCTTTTCAGATACCTGTTGTTGTACAAGAAACTGTTGTGGATCTACTAGACCTTTTGATATTAAGATCTTAGACAATAGAAATATGGAAGTAATACATTTATCTCGAGGTCTGAGATGCAGTTCCTGTTGGTGTCCATGTTGTTTACAGGTATGATATAAAAATGATCTTTTTATCTGAGAAGAAAAAACATAAAAATCAAACCTTTTTAAATTGACATAAAAGAAATGCTAACAAAGGTTTATTGCGGTAAATGTCTGAAGGAATTACAGAGTAAAACCTGAAGATTAACATCAAATTCACAGAACGCAGGAAACTGGTTCAATTAAAATTTTTCATCTGAGCCCTAATAACAGATGTGTTGAAGTGATGCATTTATCTGAAATTTAATAATGATTACTATTTACTGGTTTGATATGAGAGGAAGTACCGGTAAATGGGAGGAAATTGCCTGGATTTGTGAAACATGTGATATGATATCACAGGGATGGAAAATTAAATTTTCAAGTGGTAGCCCAGTCAATGGCCAATAGACCCTCTGTAGTGGCCAAGTGTTACATGAGGAAAAAATTTGGAGCCCAGCTCAAATTGTAGGGGTCATGGGCTACTGGGCCCCTTTATATTTTCATCCCTGAATTATCTATATGATAATAATTGACATTTTGAAAATTACATGTAAATCATATTGCATTTACTATTTAACATAACAAAAACAGGCAAAGGTAAGTTAATGTAGAGAAAATCAGCTAGAATTAAAATAATTTTCTTCAGGCTAAGAAAAAGAACGTCAACACTGGTAGTATACCCATGTGTCAAATCAGTTATTTAATCCTTTATGTCTTAATTTGTATAATCGTTGTAAGCAAATCAATATTTTTCGTTTAATCTATAATTCTTTCATGCCATGGTTTATGCTCATTTTAACACAAGTAGGGATTATATTTGTCATTTTCTTTATACAGAGCATCAGGGAAGTGTAAACTGTTAATTGATTTTAAAATATAATGCCTACCCATGTTAAAATGAGCATAGAGCACCACATGATAGAATTATTTCTATTCTAAAAGGAAATTTAGAACTTTTGAAATTTGAAACAGACTTTCAGACATGTTCTAAAGGCAACCATTTTGATTTGATGAATCCAAACATTTTAGAAAACTGACTGTTTCACGATTAATAGATAAACAGATACATGTAAACTAACTTTTCAAAGAATTTTATTTAATTTTCTAGCAAGCAACACCAACAAAAATGTCCATTTTGGTCTCTTGTGTTGTTCAAAATACAACTAATGTTGCGATTGTAATCGTCAAGTCATGCACATGCTCCCCATGTTCTATTAGAATTAGAACATGACTATGTTTACAAAGCAAAAGAAGAATGTCATATTAGAATCTCTTTATAAGACATGATGAGGCTTGTAGATATGTCACTGTCAACCTCTATTCTTGAAATTACTTCTATATTTTGCAGCGAGTGACAGTTGAAGCGCCACCTGGCCAGGTTTGTGGATATGTTTCCCAGGCTTGGAGTTTGTGTAAACCTAGATTTAAAATCGAGAATGCAGAAGGAGAGACTGTATTGAGAATCAAGGGACCATGTTGTCAATGGGAGATGTGTGGTGATATTGAATTTGATGTGAGTGAAATTTACATTCTGAGATGTAATATTTAGGTTGACTGGAGAGTAGGTTCGTGTGGCCAGTATTTACTTGTTCACAATAATTAAAGTTCCTCTGGGAAAAAATAACCAATAAACAGGGTCATGTGAGATATAAATTATTAACCTTGTGAAATGTATGTATCTTTCATGACCTTACGCATAGGTCTGTATCAGCCTTTGAACCCTGATTTATACTAACAGTAGTTAAATCAGTAATTTATAAACCATGTATCATTATTATAAATTATTAAACATTTATAGTTGTTTAACAAATTTAAAAAATAGTAATTTTACATGTATGTGTGAATTTAGACTTTAACATGATGTTTCAAAGTTTTTGAATAGCATATTTGATCAAATTATCACTGTGAAAAAGACTTTAAGGTTAATGTTTTAAGATGGAAAAAGTACCTGAACTCAATTTGTATCTCTTTATATAGGACAATTATATCCTAGAAATTGCCATGGCAAAAAACAAAAATATATGTAACCACATTAGTCCAAACAAATGTGAGAAAATAGAAAACAGTAAGGTTTTTCTTCTTTTTTAAGTTTTGTGACATTTTGTTTATAACATTTACACAGGTACATACAGAAGATGAGACCACCTTCGTAGGCCGTGTCTCTAAACAATGGACAGGACTGGGTATTTTAAGTATTATGACACTTTGTTTATAACATTTACACAGGTCCATACAGAAGATGAGACCACCTTTGTAGGCCGTGTCTCTAAACAATGGACAGGACTGGGTATTTTAAGTATTATGACACTTTGTTTATAACATTTACACAGGTGCATACAGAAGATGAGACCACCTTCGTAGGCCGTGTCTCTAAACAATGGACAGGACTGGGTATTTTAAGTATTATGACATTTTGCTTATAACATTTACACAGGTACATACAGAAGATGAGACCACCTTCGTAGGCCGTGTCTCTAAACAATGGACAGGACTGGGTATTTTAAGTATTATGACACTTTGTTTATAACATTTACACAGGTCCATACAGAAGATGAGACCACCTTTGTAGGCCGTGTCTCTAAACAATGGACAGGACTGGGTATTTTAAGTATTATGACACTTTGTTTATAACATTTACACAGGTGCATACAGAAGATGAGACCACCTTCGTAGGCCGTGTCTCTAAACAATGGACAGGACTGGGTATTTTAAGTATTATGACATTTTGTTTATAACATTTACACAGGTACATACAGAAGATGAGACCACCTTTGTAGGACGTGTCACTAAACAATGGACAGGACTGGGTATTTTAAGTATTATGACACTTTGTTTATAACATTTACACAGGTACATACAGAAGATGAGACCACCTTTGTAGGACGTGTCACTAAACAATGGACAGGACTGGGTATTTTAAGTATTATGACACTTTGTTTATAACATTTACACAGGTACATACAGAAGATGAGACCACCTTTGTAGGACGTGTCACTAAACAATGGACAGGACTGGGTATTTTAAGTATTATGACATTTTGTTTATAACATTTACACAGGTGCATACAGAAGATGAGACCACCTTCGTAGGCCGTGTCACTAAACAATGGACAGGACTGGGTATTTTAAGTATCATGACATTTTGCTTATAACATTTACACAGGTACATACAGAAGATGAGACCACCTTCGTAGGCCGTGTCTCTAAACAATGGACAGGACTGGGTATTTTAAGTATTGTGACATTTTGTTTATAACATTTACACAGGTACATACAGAAGATGAGACCACCTTCGTAGGCCGTGTCTCTAAACAATGGACAGGACTGGGTTTTTTAAGTATTATGACATTTTGTTTATAACATTTACACAGGTACATACAGAAGATGAGACCACCTTTGTAGGCCGTGTCACTAAACAATGGACAGGACTGGGTAAAGAATTGTTTACAGATGCTGATAACTTTGGAATCTCTTTCCCTGTAGATCTGGATATTAAAATGAAAGCTGTAATGATTGGTGCAGTATTTTTATTAGTACGTATTCTCTTGTTAAAATGATAGTTTCTATAATTTGTCTAGTACTGTTAGCCCTGCCTTTGATAGTAGAAGGCATTATATTGTCCGCTCTGCAAATCTATCTATTTACCTATCTGTTCATCTTTCCGTATTAAAACCAAATCAAGTTAGAGTTTACTGTAGTTTACCATGAAGTTGTGGTCACATCAACTTGAAACTTAGTACACATGTTATATGATATCAAAACTTAAAAAAATGTATACCAAATAAGGGCTTTGACCAAGATTTCACAGTTCACTGAACATGGAAATAAGATATTGTGAACAGGGCATGGTATCCTTTGAACACATATTCTTGTTATTTAAAAGCAGGTGGAAACCCAGTTGAAATTCAACAAAAGAAATGGAACTCTTTGTTAGAGAAGGTAAACAAGGCGAACTTGGTAACTTTGAATTGTTTACATCTGTTTCTATGGGCTTTAAAAGTTTAATGAATTTGCCTAATTTAGGATTTTATGCATCTTATGTTTGTGTTTTTACTTAAATTATTTAATTGAGCTTCGAGATATTTGTAAAATTTTAAATTATAGACAAATTTTCACAAAACAGTCAATTGTGGCAGGTGCAAATTCACGTGGATCTTTTTTGTGCATAAGCATAAATTCCGCTGAAAAAAATTCCGAAGAAAGATAATAGATGTATCTTTTTAAAGCATCAATTTGTATCTCTGCCCCCGGTGACAGTTTTTTGGAAAAAAAATCCCCAAAATAGGCAATAATTTCAACGAAAAGAGAAAGTCAAGTACATTTTTTTAGGTTCAGTTTGAGTTGACTATTCTGTCTTGAAAACGTATAAAAGAAAAATATTTGATGTATCATCTCGCTTCAGATTCTATTATTTTTATATATTTAGGCTGTAGGATGATACAATAACATTAAAAATTTACAGTACTAAAAGATGAAATATATGGGTCAAGTGAAATACCTTTCTAATGAGTCATAACAACAGAGTATTTGTTTTCGAATAACAAATTTTTACTAAAAGTACTTGACGACAAACTTTTCTGGTGGATCTTAAAAATTTTTAGTCTGCCCTTCCACGAAATATTTAATTAGAATTTTTTAAAATATTTTTGAACTTTCAAAATTTCCCCCTGACAACCGCTCAGACAATAGTTTTAAGTTGACCAAATGAATAAAAGTACATTAAATGATGTCCAATAGCTAGTAGATACATTTGTCTTTTAAAATACAACAGGCATGTAAGGATCGTAATGATACTATGTGGATAAATTTATCGGTTTTCAAGAGCTAAATTGACAGCACGTCATCACTACAATGGCTTTCATTTTTATGATTATGAAAATTAGGTGGCGTAATGGGGAGATAATTTTGACGAAGTAGAATCCTGACTGAAAAGGTTAATGAAAACTGTTATGTTTGGTACAATATTTTTGAAATGAAAGTGACTTTTATATTTTGTTTGTTATTTTTCTATGTAAGTATAAACATTATAAAAAAAAATGAAACTGACATGATAATATAAGTAAGACATTATTTGGTATCCTTTAATAATTCAAACAAACATTTCAGTACTGTGAAGAATGTCATGTTAAAAATATAGATCACTGCTAATTTATGTATTTTATTCCTATGCAAACAGTTTTTCTATTTTATTGAGTTAGGTAGAAAAAAATGAAGGAAAAGAATAAACAATTTGGATGGACTATTTAAGAATAAGGAACATACAGACCGAAAGAGAAATAGTGAATTAGTACACATAAGATTAGATATCTCAAGAATAAATGTGCCATAATAGTAAATACTGTTTGTTTACAAATCAGATATCTTATTCATGTCATTATCAAGTTGTTTCCCTTCCACCATTCACAGAATATTGTGAAAGTTCATCTATAAAGACTAAGGAAGGATATTTAAAAGTTTTGTTGATCCTAATGACTTAGAGACCACAAAAATTCTTGTTTAGTTGACTTTGTTGCCACTTTTAAAATACCGGTATGCTATTTAATGAATTTATTTTTTACTTATAGGATTTTATGTTCTATGAAAATAACAAGAAGAAGAACCAAAAAGATGCTAAGAAGGTATGATTCACTCAATGTCTAAGACAGTATGATTCACTCAATGTCTAAGACAGTATGATTCACTCAATGTCTAAAACGTTTTATTCCAAAAATATTTTTTGATATCGTGATCATTAAGGATATCTTGACAGAAACCTTTAGTACTCAGCTTGTTTGTATGTTTGTCCGTCCGTCACAAATTGTTTCAGCTCTTTACTTTAAAATTCCTTTGAGTTCCGTGATGAAACTTGGCAGGATTATTCAACACTACTAAACGGTGTGTCATGGACACGGAAGAAAACTGAAAGTCATTGTCAAAAACTTAGTTCAAATTTCCTGCCCCTATGCGTATGTACAAATAAACTTTGTAAGCAATCAACCCATGAAGTCTTAGTGACATATCCAATAACTCTTTCAAAATATGCTTTAATAATTCCTTTCAAAATAAAACAAAAGCAAAAACTTTATAAAAGGAAATTTCAAAATGCTCTCAAGGAACCTAATTGGAAGACAAATGTTAGAACTCTATTAAAAATATCAGTTACAAAAATTAGAAACTTTATTAAAGACCAAACAGCCTATTCAGTTCTACCAGTGATTTTTCCTTAAAATTTTGTGTGAACGTATTTCATGATTTGAGGAACAAAATATGATAAAAAAAAATTGGGGGTCACCGACTTAGTTTTGTCACTATAGCAACCTCAGTTTCGTGTTTTCCCGAATATTAACATGATATTTGCTTGTTATTTAAACTCTAAAAAAATCCCATTATATCAAACCTACACACATAATTCTTGTTTCATGTTAAACAGTAGATTTGTGTCTATCAAATACAGGTTCAAGAGTTTAAGACTCTTATTGTTTTGATCTTAAAAAATATGATTTATTTCATTCCCGCCAAAAATAAAACGCAAGAATGAAAAACGTTTCAAGTATTAAAAAATATCTACCAGTGATTTTTTCATAAAAATTTCAAGAAGGAAAGTGCCATGTGTACTCTTCAAAATAAAACAAAAAAATGTATATGTCACCGACCTTTCAAAAAAGTTATGATTAATTTTCATGTTTTTTTTCTCGTTCTTTTTGAAGAAAAGAGTTGTCTTTCTTCAGAACATTGAATCTGACGTCATAGTACAAGTTTCCCTTGCTGGCGTACTGTTTGAAAAAAATTGCAAATTGGACGTTTGAAACCCAAATTTAAATTTCCAAGAATCAAGAATAACAACTATATTCAACTACTTTATTATCCGGTAATACAAGAGATCACATGTATGTATCAGTATCAGATCTCATGATGTTGTTGCCGCACAAAATTAACCTTCAGAAACACCATCTGTCGGAATGAAAAATTGTTCGAAATAACCTTTTACGACGCTTTAGAAAGGAAAGTCTGTTTTTGTCCTCTCCCTCTCATAAGCAAAATCATTGAAAATAAAAAGAGAAATGAAAGATGACACTTGCTAACTTACAGACTATTTGACTATATTAGACTAGATGTGTGGGTTTTTTTTGTCGCGTCAATTTCAGAACTTCGCCCTAGCGCACTCTTTCGCTACTGTTGACGGACGGACTTCTTTATACCATTATGTGTCCCGACTAAGACGAGCGTGTACAAAATATTCCATCTAGTTTGTGGATTCATTATTTCTGAATATTTAAAATATAAGTAAATTAAAGTTATAGGTATTATATGAATTAAAGTTTTTGATTCTAAAACGTTTTACATCCATTTAACCTATCATAAAATACGATCCCCGTAATTACTACCTCATGTGTTTTGAATGAACGAGACAGTAAATATAAAAAACAAATAAGTTTTTAATTCAAAAATTGATTTAGAATCTAAGAAATAATTTTCCGTTGAAAACTATAAAGTATTTCTCAAAACAGGATGAAATATTATGAATCTAAATAGCTCATTTTGGAAATTAAAACAAAGACAAGGTTGTATGTATAGATTGCCGGCATTGAACATCGAAATTTGTTTTCAATCTTTCCGGTCATTGTAGCTTTTTGAAAGTGAGAAATTTTATGTTGGATCTTATTCTTGAAGCAATTGCTTTTGTCATAAGTTAAATTTACAACAAGTTACGTTTTAAAAACCGTAAATTTTTATTTTAATTCACATTCACTGAGTATATTAATTTCTTATATTTTTTGCCTTAATCTGTGAGATCAGGCGAAATCTTTATCATTTCTCCTTGAGACAATTTGAAATGAAACAAATGACAAAAGACAATGAACCTTTATCATTTTTATTTTTATTATAAGATTTTGTCAATTAAGCAGTATAGATAAAATTTAACTTCATTGCAAGATCACCATTATTTTACGAGAATCTTAAAGAAATAAGTTAATCTCAACATGCATACGTTGCCAGTATATCGAAACTTCTAGAAAGTATTGTTTTTCGGCCTAACCTTCTGAAAACTCAGTTTTGAAAATCACATATTAAGTTATTCTAAGCGTTAGTCATATAAATTTACCAGTGTAAAGTTACACGGGCGTACGAGATTTGCGCCGATTTAAAAAAAAAAATCGATCTTTAATTTTGCGCCGATTTGATTCTTTCATTATCGCCTATTTTATTTTTTTTTTATCACTAGCCCCGATACATAATTTGCTATACGAGTAAATACGTGTACATGTAGTAAACCTAGAATGTATATTGCATGGTAATATATGGATATAAATAGTGTTCCCTTATGTTTAAGATAATTTTGGTCATATTATTCGAGAACTTCGTTTTGACACGAGAAAGAAAAGATGGACTTCGTTATTGGCAAGTACAACAAGTATAGAAAAGATAAAATGACAAGAAAGGAATATATCAGATGTGTGGCATATAAATTCTCGGCAAGATAATAATTCATTGTACTAGTATTACATTTTTATGGATTTTATTGTGGTGCTTTGAAATGCTGTAAATAGAATTTTACTTCCGTGATTTTAGTGGATGTAAACAGAGTGCACAAATATCTTTTAAATTGACTTATCCTGTTCGAAATTCTACTCCCACCTCCCCTTTGTGAGCAGAGGACAACAGTTATATACATGTTATAATTGACAATTCATAACATATGTACAACTGGCTAACGGAAGAGGTTTATATGATAAATAAAAAAATAACTTTCACCTATAATTTACCTGTACACAATCGGCGCAAATGAAAGACAAAATCGGCGCAAGTGAAAGAAAAAAGGGAAATGCAGATCGGCGCAAATGCAAAAAGCCGAGTTCAAAATTTATATTTTCATTATTATTTTTATTAGAACGGAGGTTACAGATAGTGTAGTATCTTTTGTGTCCATTTGTGTTTAATTTCCACTAGGTATCAGTGCGACGCTTAATTCCACTTTTCTTGGAAGACGTAGTTTTAAGCGTACACCATGTTGGAATCTGTGAAAAACGCGAAATAGGACGTTATAATTTGACGTTTTTTTCATGGCTAAAAACAACGTCATAGAGCTTTTATGTCACTACCAAGTTGCGTTAGTTGATGCGCATCAACAATAGGCTGTTTGGTCTTTAAAAAAGAAAACATTAAAAAAATAATATTCAATACAACTGTACAAAAATAAAGGAAAGAAAATGTCTGTTTCAAGAAATTTTCATATGTATTAGGCAAGTTGAAGTATTACATGTAAAAGAAAAGTACCAAGAGCTGGTTATCAGCAGTTTATAACTTTTTATCTTTTTTTGTGTAGGAAACAGGCAATGTTTCAGATAATGCTGTTACCGATAACTAGGTGAAACAAAGTTCAAGAATTTTTTATTATAAAAACTGGATATATTTGGTCATTGGTTGTACAAATTTATTTAAACTAAACTATTTTATTCAAACCCAGATACACATTTATAAATGATAACTTATAAGAAAAGCATGTTTTAGTGAACTAATTTAGGAAGTGTTTGGATAACAACATTATTGTTAACTGCATGTATATTAAGTGCATGTTCCTGTAAATTACTGGCTATATAATTGTGTAATATTTTGGTTTTAAGATTAAACATAAGCAGGTTGACCAGAGTCATTGTTTTTATCTTTAACTAACTTAAAGAGGAAATAAAAAAATAAAATTTACTAATTATAAAAAGTGTATTAACATTATTTATATATTTACTTCTAATAATCATTAAGTTGATAAAATAATAAAATCGCAAGAATAGCATTCAAAAATGAGAAGAAAAATAAAAAAATAAATTGATAACATGAAATCTATTGCATAAAAAGTTTCATTGATAAAAAGAAAACTTTTCTATCATGATGTATCAGTTACTGTAAATTCAGAAATTATTGTATGCATTTATTTTATTGCAATTTTTCGAAGAAAGGACAATAAATGTGAGATTAATTATTGTGATTTCAGGAAAATTTGCCCACAGATATGTGCATCAGATATCAGAATACGAGTTATTATTATTGCAATACTCACCCAGTCGCATTATTCTAATTGTTAAAAATCTCACAATAATTTCTGAATTTACAGTAATCTGAATGATAAAAAGGGGATTTAATTTTGAACTTATAGTATAATTATAAATGGAATTTTGTTTACAGGTCTTAGGATAAATACATGCCAATATGGGGTTGGTACACATACATTACACATGTACATCTATAATTATAATATTCTAGAACTGTGTGCTGCATTTTAATAAGCTAGGAATGCTATGTCTGAAAGCTTTCAGTGAATGTGTCAGTTTTAAAGTACTTCTAAACAGCATGCTGCTTTTTAAAACTAGAAAATGGAAATAAAACAAGCAAGTTCAGTTAGAATTAATGCTAGATCCTTATTTAGCCATGATATCACTTGATCTAAATTTCATTTTTGATAATATAGCTAGTTGACTTATTATTTCTTATTTCAGTGGCTATGATTGTTCACTATGATAACTTGTTTTGGAGATTTACTATTTACTTAAAACTATTTTTAATTCCCATTAATTTTGTAATTATTCAATTTTTTTTGGTAAGGAAATTTTCTATTGAAAAAGTCCAATAAATAACTTTGTAACACAACTTCCAATAATACACCTTCATGGAATGTGTCTAAGGTATGCATGTAATGCTGCAAAAATCTGCACTTCTTAGTATATGTCCTGGATAAAAAAAACTACTTTTCAACACATGATTTTTTTTAATGATTTCTTTTCATTAACTATATATATTCATTAATGTCATGATACTTTTAGACCTGTTAAAGATAAAGTAAATATTTTTCTGAAAACAAATAAATTGCTTGACATTTCATGTAACTGAAGTACCTAGCCTAGAATACTTGTGTTTTCCAATATGAATTTTGTTTTGTTGTTAATTATTTGAAAAGAGTAAATTTTTGGTTTGTTTTATGTTTTTAATGTATGGTGCATAACTTTCTAGATTCATCAGTTACTGAGCTAAATAATTTTGGTAAAGAAGTAGAAATATTTGATAGTTAACAATATTTATGCTTGGTTTTTACTGTTAAGATGCTTCTTGTTACTCATACAAATGATATAAAATGTGATGGCTGCTTTATATACTTGTTTCTATTGATTACTTTTATTTTATTTTAAAAGTTTTGTTCAAACAGATAACTTGCTGTTATGTCTGATGATAAAATACAAAAAAAACATCAGGAACAATAGAAACATTACCAAAACCTTAACCAAGCTATGTTATAAGTATGTTTCTCATTTAATAACCACAGGCTAGAATATCTAGACTTTACTTTGGGGAATGTTTGACATGAATATCCTAAGGCTGATCCTGAAATTCAATACAATGCACACTTCATTTCACTAAAGCTCATATGAGTTATATGTATTCTAACATTTAAGGGCCATGCATAAAATTTACACACAAATCAAAATGCAGAAAAAATTTTGTTACTAAAGAAAATTATTTGTCAACTGAAGGCAGAAACAGATGTATCAGCCATTTGTGTCATGATAAAAACATACAAATAAAATGTTACATTGAGTATAATTATGACATTTTGTTTACAGGTTACAGGATAAATACACACCTATATGGGTTGGTACACACATTTATACACTTATATCACTGTAAATATGTTAGAAATTTGTCCTAATAGTTGGCTTCTAGTACTATTATTTTGCATGTTGACCATATTTAGACACTTTCATGAGATAACCAATTCGTGTAGTTGCATGATCATAATCCCTTAGTTTTAATTTAACACATTGTAGTTTTTGTGTTCAAGTTCATTTCTCTAGAATCCAGTATTTTGTAGTAGCATTTGTTTTGGTGTAGAGCATTTCTCTTTATTTTATTTTGTAATACATTATTGTAATAGTTCGGTCACTATGATGTACATTTCTGCTTTGGCAACTTTGTTTAGGTTTTCATTTTAGTTACTCTCTCAGAAAACTTTTTATACAGTAACATTTGATTCACCATGATTGATTGATTGTTTGTGTTTAACGCCACCTTCAACACTCTTGGCTATTTTATGGTGTCCAGTTTTTGTTGGTGGAGGACCATGACCTTCAGCAGGAAAATTGGCAATCAAAGTCAATTAAGATGAGAGCCAAATGCAGATTTTCTCCTTGAAATATTAAAAAACAGTTTGACATTTTTCACATGCCTTGCCAGTGCATATTTAGTCTTGCAATAAGGCACAAGTGGAAGTTTTATTCCATAGATAACTGGACATCTGACAAACACATTATCCCATAGATAACTGGACATCTGACAAACACATTATCCTATAGATAACTGGACATCTGACAAACACATCAGTCTGTTAAAGACTAACCTATATAACTGTTACAGTAACACATTTTTTCAGTGGAACTTTTTGTAACAAATTTTTGTTATAAATGTGATTCGATTGGATATTTGATTGTGATTGAATATGATGTTATAACCTCTTTAAGATAGTCTGACATATACATCTATGTCATTATAAACTCCTTATAGTCTGACATACACCTCTATCATCGTAATAGGTCAAAACCTCAAAGGTTTTATAGATAATACTAAACAAGTTGATTACTTTGCTTTCAAGGGTTCATTCATAATTGTTATAAAAATATACATCTAGCTTATGTTGGAGTATGGTGATTCTCTTGATTGATTTTTTCCTTTAAATTTCAGAGTTTATATAATTCTAAAACTGAATCCATTAATCTGAAACAGAAGTAAGAAGATCATGCAGTCCAATAATCCTAATCAACAGTATCTGTAGACATACTGATTATTCATTATAAATTAGTCAACCAACATGTAAAACTGAACTCAGTATTAGATAATGAAAATAGATGCTGAAAAAATCTCATGTAATTTTTAAAAAAAAAATTTTGGATACTCTTACACGCTTTGGAAATACTTTTATGGATGACCCCTTAAGGGAAATGGATAGAAATGCTAATGATACCACATATAATCCTGCTTTGATACTTACACATGTTTATTTCAGATGTATGACTAAACCCAGAGGTACTAATGATACCATATATAATCCTGCTTTGATACTTACACATGTTTATTTCAGATGTATGACTGAACCCAGAGGTACTAATGATACCACATATAATCCTGCTTTGATACTTACACATGTTTATTTCAGATGTATGACTAAACGCAGAGGTATGGCCCTCACGTTGTTTCACCGACAAAATACTCAACACAAATACACTTCTGTCCTGTCAATAATATCTTCTTACTATCTGCTGAATACTTTTGCCTGTGTCATTTTGTTCCTTGTCTGTGTTTTGTGCTTCTTTATAAATTTAATTATCTCAACCAGATAGAAAGTGTAAGGAAGATTTTATTAACTAGACATAAGGATTACTTTGACGGCGACGATGACAACAGCGTCAACAATTGTTAAGTTTTCTGCTTAAGTTAGTTTCAGAGGAACTACTTGTGATAGATCAATGATATTTTGTATGAAGTTGCATTACTATCAGCACATATCAGTTTGACGACAAATTTGAGGCCCTGACCCCTAGGCCATGGTCCAGCGACTTTGAATTAACTAGCAATTTTAAATGTTAAGTTTTCTGCTTAAATCAATTTGATTAGAACTATTTGTGATAGATCAATGATATTTTCTATAAAGTTGCATTACTATCAGTACATATCAGTTTGCCAACTATTTCAAGGCCCTGCCGCTAAGGTCATGGTCTCAGTGGCTTTCAATTAATTAACAATTTTCAATGTTTTCTGCTCAAGCTAGTTTGATAGGAACTTTTACAATAGACAACAATATTTTCTATAAAGTTACGTTGCTGTTTGTACATCTCAGTTTGTCAACCATTTAGAGGCCCTGCCAACTAGATCATGATCCAGACTTTGAATTAATAAGCAATGTTGCTGTCCATCAGATTGTCTTTTTCTGAATTTTATGCCGACAGGTGAGACATATCTCTGTGTCAACAGTTTATTAAGTTGTTCAACTACCATCATCTAAATTCTATAAATTTAATTTACCAGTTACTCATTCTTAACAGGCAATGCTACTTCTTCTTCATTTTTAGAATATAAAGATGTATATATTTATACATCTCAGGCATTCAAAACTTTAAATCTGAGCATTTCTAATGAAGGTTGATATAGATACATCAGTTGACAATTTAATGCCCTTAAAATTATCATTTATGTAACTTTTTTGGTTATGATTAAATCACAGATTTATGATATTAAAACATGTGACGGGCCATAATTATAGTAATAATACCAATGTAAATATAATAAAGACTTCTTTATTTAAAGAGGATAACACAAGTTATATAAGTAAAGTTACAATTAAGCAAAGACTGGGTCAATTTTTTCATTGTTAAATTTTGTCTTGTTTGAATTTGAAGATGAAAAAATCTGTTAAATAAAGTGGTATCTCAAACAAAAAGGTACATTGTTGCACTGTCCAATATTTTTATAGTTCCTGTTATCCTATTGATGTATTTATAGAAAACAGTCAGAATATTTCAACTCATTAATGATTGTGTAACATTAAAGCTGTGTACCATGGGCACATGGAAAGTGTGTTATATATGTGGTATCAGGTAGTGTTTAAACAAAAGTCCATATATTGAACAAGCTTTGATAATGGTATTTTTCCAGTGATGTGATATTTAGATTTTAGATTTATGTTTCCATAGCTTCATCAGAATATTTCATCTTTTTAATTTCTAATTGCTTTTTCGTCTAAATGTTTTTAACAAATTAAATAATGCATTTTATTTAAATATACTTTGTAAGAATAAATAGCATTTCAGGAAATATGGTATTACTATTGTTAAAGTATGCTGTAAAGAGAAATGAAGAATGTTTTTGTTAACTAACCTTTAACAAATCTTTTGGTATTGACTTCAAGCATTTATGTATAGATTATCCATGTTGCTAGTAGTTTATTATACCAATTTTCATATTTTTTTTAAAAACAACTGTTTACTGTTTGATATATCAATAAATTTTTAGTCTAAATTGAATTTTAGAGGCAATATTAACTAACCAGTTTTTCTTGTTTCAGATCAAACACTGATGTATCAGTAGCCTTGAGAAGAATCTGCTGGAAGAAACAAATACTGATTTATTCTGCACAATTTCATGTCTTTCAATGTAGATGATTTTAGGACTAAACTTTTCTTCAGTTTTGTTTCTGAATTCTTCGACTTGCTATAATTTTATGAGATGCTCTTAAATATATATCATAAGTTTTATATCACTTTTACTTGTATTAGTTTAAATTTTATTCTCTTTTATTTATTTTAACTTTATCATGAAACTTATTGCAGCTTTTTTATAATCACAAATAATTAAATCTTTTAAAAATGCTTTTGAACGTCATGTCGTGTAACTATCAGATGACCAAAAAAAAGAAGCTTAAATAAAGAGAAATAGAAAAAACATTAGAAATCAAAATGATAAATTAATAAATTAATCTTTTAAAATGAACAAACCACAGATTAAAAAGATTTATAAATATATGCATATCATTATGTTTCATAAAATAACCATGAACAGTGCTTAATACATAACTGAACTGAGAAAGGATAATAAGCTTATGTAAGCATTATTCATGTAAACATTGCTTAGTAAATTTATTTGATTCGTGTATCATATACACCATATAGTATTGTACTGTAAAGATAAATACTTTCACATTCATTATTGCTTCTCATAGTCACAATTTATAACGAAATGACAAGGTTAAATAAAATTTACTCAAGTTTTTTGGATTTTAGCAGAAAAAAAATATGCAACTTTCAAAGTACTGTTTTATCAAATGAGTTCACTGAAGTGAAAATTTTATCACATTTACATTTTGAGAAACTGTTTTTCTTTAAAATATGACATTTTTAAAATTTGATTTTAGCCTTATCGTTTGACAGAATTGTTTACATTGTAATTCAGGTAAATGTTTGTATGCTTTACTGTGATTAACCAGTTGGTTGTTGTTAGAAAAGACATATACACAATGTAACATCAAATAATTAGGGGCATTGTATGTCTTGTTTATGTAAAATATGTAAATCTTTATATATATTCAAGCTAAATATACATGTAATAACAACTGTAAGAGAATTTATGGCTGGATTATGTAATGAGTTATAAATTTTATCAAATTTAAATATGGAAACAGGTTGAAATTTTTTATCTTTAAACAGTATTCTTATTAACAGATTTCATTAAATTTCATTGCTTTACTGATAAATTTGATACATACAAACAAGATGACATCTAATGGCAAAAATGATTTGCTGATTGGAAAGAAACATATGATACTTTTTAAATGTTTAAGATTTCTTTCATGCAAGTGATTTTACCCCCTCAAACCTTTCATTGATAGTATTAAGGGTAGAAGTAATATAAATAAGAATCCCCCCTCCCCCTCCCCCTTATACAATCTTTTTATATTGAGATATATTTGTTGAACAATTCTGTAGTTAGTTAAGATTTATGTATCTGATATATGTAAGTCCATTTGAATTCATTGGGTTTTGATTACTGAGTTTACAGGCCAGTACTACAGGAGTTCTAAACATTGAGTTTAAACATGAAGTTTTCATTTTTGCTTTGCTTTTTAGATTACAGTTTCTTTACTTATATAGTAACCATATTTATGTACTGGCTTACTATTTCTGACTGATGTTTTACATTTGTCTTTTTGGTTGATGATGCCTCATCATATCAGACAATAACTACATACTTGTATTTTATACATCAATTTTATTATCTAATATATATATATATACTTTAAGGCAGGCTATGTTGTATCCATTAACAGCCAAGATTTATTTTATATAATTGTACTTTTAGTCATGTGTTGTTTTTACACTTTTTCTTTTTTACAAGATTCTTTTTTTATTCTATTTATTCTTGTATAAAGGAGATTTGTTTGTCTGTTTGTCTTTTTCATTCTCCACATTATTTAAAATATTACGGCTTCTTTTTAGAATTAACATTTCATCAAATATATAACTTAATACTTCATACTAACTGTAGTGAGATTAAGTTAGATGTTTTGGGGTTTGCTATCCTGTCTTAAAGGACCATTCGTACATAGATAGGAATAAAAAGATCAAACATTGAAATAAGCTTCACTACTGTAATCTAGAAACCTTATTGGTCCATACATTTGTTGATATAAGAATGTTTACAATAGGGAAATTCATACAGTCAACAAAGCCAGTAATTTAAGTAACACAAATATAGTAAAATAGATTATTGAAACATACTAAGAATAGGAAGAAACCTAAAGTATTGATAAAACCTATTTTTGACAATATCTTTTGCTCTGTGCTTTCTTTTACCTCAAACACTCATGGATTTATATATTCCAAAAATATGAAAAGAAATTTAGGAACTTTTTGAAAGTGCAAGTACTGGTATTATATTCTGAATCAATTTCTTTGTATTGGGTACTGAGGGTTTAACTGTAAATTCTTAATATGTATAATTAAAAATGATTATTAAACAAATTTATTTGTATGATACATAATCATGATAATGTACATAATGGTGTTGGTAGCAAATACTTAGCAACTGCAAAATTACATCAAAATGACCTTAGTGCCTCTCGGTTTTGCATGGTAAAAATTTATATATGGGAATAACCATAGTCATATCTTTATTTTGTGTTTTGATAAAATTTAATAAGCAGGTGTAGTGAAAAGATTGAAATCCACTGTAATATATGACCAACCTTAATCCGTTTTGTATGAAGATAGTTAATTATTGTGCATATCAGAATCAGTGAATCACCCAAATTTTGCTTAATATTTTCTACATTAAAATATTCAAGTTTAACAAATCTAAATAAATATATTTTTATTGGAAAGTAAGGTTTAAAAATTCCATTTTTTTGTGGGGAATATAATGTTTAATCTTTTAATAACACTGGGTCTAAATAAAATTTCTAGACATGTAAGTCTTTGAATTGGCTTTTTCCTTTCGATGGACATGCTGTGTTCATGTATTTGGTTTAGAGATTCAGAAGTTTGATTCCTTTAAAACAATCGATTTGGTATTTTTTGTCTGCTATAGACAAATATTGACATTCAACATTTATTGACCTTCACTAACTATCTCTGTGTTCAAGCTTTGCACTTGTTGTATTCCCATAGATGTAAGACTACACATGTAATAATCTGTTATGTATAGTAGTATTATAAGTCTTTGTAATTTATGATATTAAAATAAAAGAAATTCGTTATAGCTTTTATATAAATTGAAGATCTTTACAATTTTATTTTTAAGTTACTACTTGGCCACTTGTCTTTATTTGTGGTATCCAATAACTGAAGGGAAGTCTCAGTATGGTATCCATAAGAAGGGAAAGGTAACAGACTATTCAAAAAAAGATATACAAGAATAGACCAAAGCGGTTAATTTCAAGCTTTAGAATTTGAAAAATTCTTATATTTTGTCAGAATTGTACACCTAATAAGCTTCCAGTGACTGGTTAGCCAAACCTCCTGCTTATATGGCAAAGTTAAAAACACCGCTAAAATGACAACATTACGTGACAGGAATACAGTACAAAGAAACGCAAGAACACCCAGGACAGAGAAATACATAAATAAATAAAATAATAGTATATTGAAACATTTAAACCACAGAATAACAAATGACACCTCCTATTAATTTACAGTACACCAGTACACCACAATAGAATTATGAACTGTGCGTCACACAAATGTATCAATGCCACAAAAAGTGACGTCACAGGTAAATTTCTGAAAATAGAATATAAAATTGGGATTAAGTTTGTAATGGTGTTATACTGTATTTTCTAACCATTACAAGACTATTAATATAGAATTGTGTTAGTAATGGTCTAATTATTTGTATTTTCTAACCATGTCGGTTTTTCTTCTTAATCAAACCTGTGTAAAAAAAAAACAAATAAATTCTGTGCATATAGTAGCTTTAAACTAAAAATCATATAAATGAACTAGCTGATTAACCATCTTAACTTTTACATACATATAGCAAATAAAAATAGAATTCAAACCACAAACGATAAGACATGACACATTATTGAACCAGACTTACAAAAGAAACACCATAACTAAATACATGAATGTTGGATGTATAAATACTGAGACACGTCTAATAGCAATGCGAATTCACACTCGGCAAAACAGTCATATTCGGGAATAGGTCACACTCGGTATTTAGCAGACCAGACGACGTAGATGGTAAACCACAATCTAAGACGTGGTAAAAATTATGTTAGGTAGTTCAGACACAGACATATCGTATAGATCAACCAATTTGTGATGGTGCCCATAAAATGTACGGAGTGTCATTTTTGTCTCGCCTTGATGGAGTCAAAAAGCGAGACATAGGTATGCTGTTTCCGGTGGCGGTGGCGGCGTCAACAATGTATTAGTTTGTGATTAGGTCTAGTTCATGGTGAACCACTAGTGGTAGGTCAATGATATTTGGTATGCAGTTGTATTAGCATTGGCACATCTCATTACCATAGAGATTATTTGGCCCCGCCCCCTCAGTCAAGGTCTATTGACTTTGAAACTTTTCATAGTTTACATGTATTAGTTTATGATTAGGTCAATTTATGGGGAACCACTAGTGGTAGGTCAATGATATTTGGTATGCAGTTGTATAAGCATTGGAATATCTCATTTCCATGGAGAATATTTGGCTCCGCCCCCTTAGTCATGGTCTATAGACTGAAAATTTTGCTAAGTTAACATGTATAAGTTTGTGATTAGGTCAGTTCAAGGGGAACCATTAGTGATAGGCCAATGTTAATTGGTGTTCAGTCGTATAAGCATTAGCACATCTCATTTCCATGGAGAATATTTGGCCCCGCCTCTTCAGTCATGGTCTATTTACTTTGAAACTTTTGCTTAGTTTACATGTATTAGCTTGTGATTAGATCAGTTTAAGATGAACTGCTAATGTTACGTCAATGATATTTGGTATGCAAATTTATTGGCATTTGCAAGTATCGTTTCCATGGAGATTATATAGCCCCACCCCTGATCATGGGTCATTGACTTTGAAACCTTTACATAGTTTACAAGTTAATGTTTGTGGTTAGGTTTGTTTAAAGGGAACGACTTATAATAAATCAATGGTATTTGGTATGCAGTTGTATTAGCATTGGCACATCTCATTCCATGGAGATTGTTTAGCCATGTACCTTCAGTCATGGTTCATCGACTTTGAATATTTGCATAACTTACATGTTAAAGTATTGCTATTTCAATTTCAACATTTGCATTATCAAAATTACAAAAAGGCGAGACATATCTCTGTGATAACAGTTTATTAATCTTTCCTCCTCATAACTCTGTTGGAGCAGTTTCTGCGTAAGGAGTACATTCCGTATAGTGTGAAAATGTTCGAGCATAACGTTTCAACTGAGATATGTAAACACCATACGATGGGGCAGAGGGTATGTTACTGCTGAGAAATGGGAAATTGATAATTGGGAAGTTGAAATCGTCCCGTTTGTCATAGATTTTAGTGTGAAGTCGTCCATCTGTGTCAATATTGAGGAAAAGAAAAAAGGTATGCAGCAGTCCTTCTAGTATCAGTAGTATTCTTAATTTCAAGTTCACTGAGATATATGAGATGTAAGTATTGACTGAAATATGGGTTATTCAGTGATAGAACATCATCGATATATCTTAAAGTAAAATTAAAGAATTTCGCAAGGTGCTTTTTCTTTTTGTCTTTTAGAAGGTCCTGAATGAATTCTGCTTCCTACGAGTACAAAAATAAATCGGCCAGTAGGGGTGCACAACTAGTACCCATTTGAATACCGACTGTCTGTTGAAATATCAATCCTCCAAACTCAACAAATATATTGTGGATCAAAAAGTCCAGCATTTTGATAATATCATCTTCAGTATACTTTCTGATCAAATCAGTGTGGTTCTTCACAAAATAAGAATTATTATAACCCAAAACAATAAATTTATATCTACGATTCCCATTTTTATAGAAAAAAAACTCTGTTTAATGAGATGGTGAAGTTGACCTTTCAATTGAGCATGGGGAATAGTAGTGTAAAGCGTAGAAAAATCAAAAGTTTTAATCTTGCTGCAAAATTGCTGAGATTGTGATCTAAGATTTAGCAGTAGATCTTTAGAATTTTTAAAAATCCACATTTGATTGACACTACTGAATATATCTCATCACAATATTTTTGAAGGGCATCTTTTACTGTAGAAAGAATATTAGTCAGTTTAGAAAGATGTTTAGTTGAACATCTTGATGATCCAGCTATGTATCGTTCTTTATAAGGAGTTTTGTGAAGTTTTGGTATCCAGTATAATGACGGTAGATTTTCTTCGTTTTCTTTGATGTTAATACCAAAAGAAAGAAGGACAGACTTCTGATTTTGTAAAATTTCATCCTTTGTAAATGATGTCGATATGTAGGATTACCAGTTTTGCTGTTTATCCAAGCTCTTTTGTGAGACATTCCAAGTAATGGTTTTTACATATGAAGACAATATTATTGGAGGCTTTATCTGCTGGAATAACGACATATTTGTCATGCAAAGAGCATAAAGCATCCACAACCTTCGGGTTCTTGAATGGGTTAGAAACCATTTTGCTCAAAGTACATCGTAGTTTCTGAATGCGTTTCTGAATGCATGATCGAAATTGTCTTTTTTGATTGTTTTGATTGTGTTGTCCTCAGGATGGTCTATTATGGGTAATCCCATTACCATTTTCTGGCTGTTTGACTGTATTTACCTATCAAAAATTGTCGCTTTCTTGTCGTCAGTGTTGATTGTTTGTTTATATTTCCTTCCGAATTGTCTGTTTAGGGTTATTTTGTATTTTCTTCAAGATTGTTTTTTCTAAAAATTTCCACAGGGATTTTTGTTTTGGGGGGTTTTAGTTTGTCATATGCCTCATGTCTGTTGTTTTTTTTTTATCCTGTATGATTAAGTTCTTTCAGATTAAACATTCTTATATTTGGTTCAATTATTATTCTTTTCCGCTAAGCCTCTCGCAAAGACGTTGTGACATCAATTTGAGGGTTTGGACCCTAAAGTAGTCATACTTCAACGTATTCAAAAACACACACCAACATCGTACTCTTCAACTTTTCTTTACGGATTTATTTACCCAATCACCAAAACCTGGTTATATTGAATGGTCTCAGAATCCATCTCATATAGATAATCTAAATCATGGAAAGTGCTTGGGAGAGTGGCAAATGATGTTAAGATCAAAGTTGTTACGGTCTTTTTCGCTCTCATGGAATGCCTGTTTTTGGTTTTGAATGTACGGTATAGTATTCATTCGTTTAACAGTGGCGTAACTAGCAAAAACAATAGAATATTTACAAAATATAAAGAGAATGTACACGACAGGGGGCAGGGGCTTCTGAGGTTAAAACCTGCATTTTGATTATCCAACACTTAAAATAAGGTTAGGAAAACTTTTTAGTTCAAGAGTAATATCTTTACTTAGGAACAAGCATTTGTGAAAAGATAAAAAAAGAATAGAGCTGAACATACGTAAAACATGTAAATAAATAAACATCTTCACTAAGTAGTAAAGGATCATTATATCACATATAGAACAACAATGCACGATTCCCTAAGAAAGTCTACTAAAAATGCATAAAATACACAAAAGTAAGAATAAACACTGAAAACATGCCAATTGGTGCGCCCAAACTTAACCTATTCGAAGTTAGGATTTAATCCTATATATAGTAGTGATACTATTTGTTTTGATTATTGTGGTCTCTTTCTTTGTTAGATGGTCTTCATTATTGTGGTCTATTTCTTTCCTTGTGATTAACTGTTAAATGTTTTGCCGAGATGGTCTATACCTTTTGACTGTTGGGTTAGATGGTAGTGATTATTGAATATTCCTTCTGATTATTTAACTTTGGCTTGTCATGGTATTGTTCCGTCCAAAAGGTTGTCTGTTCTGAGTTGTCTGGCCTAATATTATGGCTATGGTTGTCTGTTTTGAGTTGTTTTGCCTTGTATTATGTCTATTGGTTGTCTAGTGCAGGATAGTCTGTTCTGTGCTGTCTCGCCTTGCATTGTGTCTATTGATTGTCTAGCCTTTTATAGTTAGTCTGCTTTGAGTTGTCAAGCCTTTGTAGGATTGTCTGTTATGATTTGGGTAGCCCTTGCAGGAAAGTCTGTATTGTCTGTTTTGAGCTGTCTCGTCTTGTATTATGTATATTGGTTGGCTGTTTTTGAGTTCTCTAGCCTTTGCAGAATAGTCTGTTTTGAGATGTCTCACCTTGTTTTATGTCTATTGGATGTGTGTTTTTGATTTGTCTCGACTTGTATTATATGTATTTTGTGTCCGTTTTGAGTTGTCTCGCCTGGTATTGTATCTGCATGTAATCTGTCTTGAATTTGTCTCGTATAAGTTTTATTTTTGAGTTGTATCGCCTTGTATTGTGTCTTTTTTGGAAGTGTCTAGCCTTGTATAATGTCTTTTAAGTGTCAGTTTTGGGTTGTCTCACCTTGTATTATATCCATTGGTTGGGTTTTGAGTTTTCTAGCCCTAGCAGGATTGTATGTTTTTAGTTGTCTCACCTTGCATTATGTAAATTGGGTGTCTCTAGCCCTTGCAGGATAGTCAGTTTTGAGTTGCCTTGCCTTGTATTGTGTTTATAAATTGTCTGTTTTGAGTTGTCTTGCCTTGTATTGTGTTTATAAATTATCTGTTTTGAGTTGTCTTGCCTCGTATTGTGTTTATAAATTGTCCCTAGCAGGATAATCTGTGTTGTCCTGCCCTATATTATGTCTATTGGGTGTCTATTTTGAGTTGTCTAGCGCTTGCAGGATAGTCTGTTTTCTGTTGTCTTGCCCTGTATTGTGTCTATTGGTTAGGTGTTTTAAGTTGTTTAGCCCATGTATGATAGTCTGTTTTAAGCTGTCACTATTATCTTCTAGATTGTTTTTGGTCCTTCAATAAGCTAATCGTATAACGAACCCATGTTTGATAATATTTAACTTACTTTACGACCTCTGTAATCAAATTAAGTGCAGGTTCACAATTTCATAATACAATTTTATTATCTTACATCTCTTTACGTGTCATCCGATTTTATTTCTAATTACTGTATCACTAACTCTAAGGTCGTTGCTATTAATACGTTATATTATCGTATCCCATTTTCAGTCGAACATTAAAAGTGCAACATTTTTTCAGGGAAGTTTTCTTATTGAAGATGACTACTTGGTCAAACGTCTTTTGTTATGAAGCTACATCCTTCAGTTGTTAAAAAGGTAAGTAATAAACAGCTTAAGCAGACGAACTACTTTCCGGTTCCCTGAGAAACGGAAATTTTTCTTTTTTGAGTAGGTAATATTGTATCTATTAGACTTTCCTATACGATAATTGCTAATCTACGTAGAGCCAATCTTGAATTATTAAATAAAAAATCATGAGCAAGAACTGAATACACTTCCGGTGCACCCGAGTTCACCCCCGGATCTGGTGTGGTTCGTGCTAGTCCATCAATAATTTTCTGATGATGATGATGATGATTTTTTTTGGGTCTGAAAGGGATTTATCGTAAAATTCTTTCAATTAAATAGTCTTCTGTATTATTCAGGTTCTGCAATGACTGTAAATGATGAGAACTCTGAGGAAAGTCCGTTATTGGAGAGTAGAGTGTTATTTGGAGAAATAAAGCTGAAATATTCCAAATGGGTGGCTTATTCAATAGTGATGTTGATAGTATTTACCCAATGTTATTCGGTTATTTCAAGTCTTTACATTATGAACCAATATGCTTACTACGCATTCATGAAAGAAAAGTATCCAACCAGAAACGCAATACAGACTGCTGGTACAAGTGATTCAGCATGTACAGTAAACACTAGTAAAGTGGAATATAAGCAACAAATTGTAGTTCAGAAATTAACGTCAGAATGGAATATTTACTGTACATTGGCACAAAACATTCCTGCAGTTTTGATAAGTATGAATTTAGCTTCTTACAGTGATGTGTATGGTAGGAAGCCATTTTTCCTTGTCCCTTTAATAGGAACATTTCTAAAAAATCTGGCTTGTTCACTGGGAATATATTTTAAAATAAGTATACAATGGTTTATCGGATTTTATGTTATAGAAGGCAGTACTGGAATTTGGGCTTCTACTCTTTCCATGGCATTTTGTTTTGTTGCGGACACTACAATGCCAGGTAAAACGAGGTCATTTGTTATAGCTTTGATAGAAACCAGCATTGGCCTCGGTTCCATAATATCAACTTCATTATCTGGTTATCTCATACAATGGACAGACAGTTACATGTATCCAGAACTTCTCTCAGTCATTATAGTTACCATAGGAATCATTCTTGCAGTTTTTGTTTTACCTGAAACGCTTCATCCATCACGGAAACGAGACGATCAGGTATCAGTATGTCAGAACATGAAAAATGTAACTGAATGTTACACATCCGAGTTTTCACCGTTAGGTAAGAGATGGATGTTTATATTACTCATTTTTATATTCATAATGTCTGCATTCGGAAATTTAGGAAGACCTAATGTGGAACAAATTTATCAGATGAACAGTCCATTTTGTTGGGATTCTGTGAGGATTGGTTGGTATGCCGCAGTGCGGAATATGGCATGGAGTTTTGGCAGTATAGCTATCATTAAATTATTCCACATTTGTACTACAGACGATGTGATTGCTGTGGTAGGGTGTATTACATGCGTGGCTTCTGCTATTCTGGAAGGCATTGCAACAACAGATCTGTACTTATATTTAGGTTAGTATGTATTATTTTTTTTTTATGTAAACCAAATTCTTCTTTTTTGAATTCATTGACCTTTCTTTAATACAATATTGCATACTCAGCGTTAGGATTTTAGTTATATATGTTGAGTTCGCACACAATATATTAACTAGGCCTGTGTAGATTTAACCCTTTCTATGTTGTTCTGTTTTAATTGAGAAAATGTATGACACTTGAAAGCCTGTATGTATCTTATTTGGTTTCTAATTTCTTCTGTGGATCTCGTTTTATTCATTTCACTAGAATTATTTTGAAAAGTGTCCAAACTCAATTGAAAATTACTTTTTCTTTCAGCTGCCGGTGCTAGTATTGGTAGTGTTGTAACATTACCAATGGTTAGAGCAATTATGTCCAAGATGACACCTCCACACAAACAAGGTAATGTAAAGCTGGTAGGTGTTGAAACATTAATCTTGAAGCCAAAAGCAAAACGTCTAGAAAGCTAAAGATATAGGTGTTGAACCATTAATCAAGAAGACCATAGCAAAACATCTAGAAAGCTTAAGACATATGTGTTGGACCATTAATCAAGAAGTCAATAGCAAAACGTCTAGAAAGCTAAAGATATAGGTGTTGAACCATTAATCAGGAAGCCCAGAGCAAAACTTCTAGAAAGCTTAAGATATAGATGTTGAACCATTAATTAGGAAGCCAAGAGCAAAACGTCTAGAAAGCTAAAGATATAGATGTTGAACCATTAATCAGGAAGCCCAGAGCAAAATGTCTAGTAAGCTTAAGATATAGATGTTGAACAATTAATCAGGAAGCTCAGAGCAAAACTTCTAGAAAGCTAAAGATATAAATGCTTAGTTAGCATTAAGACGTATATTCATCGACTCGGTTGACAATTTTTTATTTGGGGTATTAAAATGTTCTATCACCCTCTCAGCTTATTTATATATAATAACCCTACTAAAAAGTAGAATAACAAAAATACCGAATACTCCAAGGAAAATTCAAAACGGAAAGTCCCTTATTTAATGGCAAAACCAAAAGCTCAAACACATCAAACGAATGGAAACAACTGTCATATTCCTGACTTGTTACAGGCATATCCTTATGTAGAAAATGGTGGATTATACCTGGTTTTATAGATAGCTAAACCCCTTACCTGTATGACAGTCACATAGAATTCCATCATATTGACGTGTGTGAGCAAAAGATAGGTAAAAATATCAAAAATTGGGGTACAGCAGTCAACATTCTGTTATAATCTTCATCACTTTAAAAACAAACAACTATGTCAACAAAGGAAAAAAAAGGCAAATAGACACTTTATAGACAAAACACATAAGCAAAAATGAAAGACAAGAATACAAAAAATGACTATAGCACAATAACACAATAGCGGGATGTATAAATACCGAGCCACGCCAAAAGAATATTACCAAAAATGGACTAAACAGTAAAGGTTAAAATTATACAAACAAAATAAAAATAACACTATAACACGTAATTAAGACGACAAACAACGTTAGTACCTAGAATATATTCTTCAAGACCATCATTTATTATTTGTGAAGTTGATACGGAATATTTATCAACAAGGTCTGGTATCTTACGATGATTTTTTTTAGAAAAAGGACGAGACGTTCTTAAGAATAACCCTGATACATCAACTTTCTGCTCAGACACTGGTGACGTTTTATAAAGTCTGAGTAGTAGCTGCAAGCTCTTGAATATCGAATGAGTTATGCAATGTATATCCCATATGCAGGTGAAGTTGGTATATTGCTGCTAAGATGGGGGAAATTTATGATTTCAAAATTAAAATCGTCTCGTTTGTCATAGATTCTGGTACTGAGATGATCGCTTATGTCAAATTCGAGGTGTAAGACTGAAAATGAGGCGGAGGAAGCTGTGTTGTTTCTTTAATTTCTAGTTCTGGAGGATATATTAATGGAACCCAATCAGAAAATTTGGATTGTAAATGGAAAGAACATCACCAATATATCTGAATGTGAAATTAAATGATGGTTTCTCGATTTCTGGTTTTTGACAAGTGTCTGAGGGAAATCCAACTCATATGAAAATAAGAAGAGCTCGACAAGGAGAAGTACACAGCTCGTTCCCATAGGAATGTCGACAATTTGTTGAAAAAGTCTACCTCCAAATTCAACAAATATGTTGTCAATAAGAAACTTCAGCATACTGATCACTTGTTCCTCGGTGTAGCATGTTTTACCTTTTTGTTCACTATTAACAAAATATGCCGTATAAATTTATAACGTATGCTGCCATTTTTTTTATTGAAAAACATTATGGATTATTTCTTTTAGACGATTTTTCAATTTCACATGGGGAAAGGTGGTATAAAGGGTTGAAAAATCAAAGGTTTTGATAGAATTTTTTACAGAGAAAGATCGAGATTTAAAATTATCCAGAAGTTTTTTTAGAATCCACATATGGTCAACAGTTTCTCACAGTATTTCTGAAGACCTTCTTTCACTGCGGACAGAATTTTTGTCAATGTAATGGAAAATTCCTTTGTAGAACATGCAGATTTGCCGGCAAGGTACCGTTGTTTGTACGGATTTTTTTAAGCTTAGGTATCCAATACAAAAAAGGTATAAGTCCTTAGATTTGCTGTTCAATGTAATGTTCATTGAAGCCAAATTCTCATCCTTGTCAGATGATTTGTTTTTGTATGTGGGATTACCTGAGTGCTCATTTATTCTTAATTCTTTTACAAGACACTTGTAGCGGTACAATTCATTTTTTTGACTACTGTTAGTAAGCTCGAGATATGTTTGAATCAAAAGTCTGTAGTTCAAGGTTAATGGAGATCTATACATCTTTACAGACAACAGTATATCGTTTGGCCTGGCATTTGTTTCACTAAGCCTCTTTCAGGATAAAATGTTCAACAGATGGCTGACTATCAAACCGTACTAATTCTGCTTTCTATCGGATTTATTTTTTACTCGTACAAACAAAATTTATCTATGCAAAGGTTTTTATCCGTTATTATCATTATTATTATAAAAACTTAAAAGATGTTTGAATGATTTGACAATATCTTAATACTTTTAAAACAATAATAGATGTAGGATAATCTACATATGAAAACGGAGATGTAAGGTAAACATCAATGAGACAGGCAACTCAACGACACAGTAAACCAAAAAAAGCATACATCATTCCAATGAGCTAGCAAACGCTACTACTAAAGAGTCTGCTGCATTCTAGAAATAACGTCTTGTCGTCTATCACGCTGCTCAGTCGCTGCGTAGTTCTCGTATTACTGCTTTGAGACGTGAGCAGAAATGAACAGCCGCGTCAAAACGTCTGCGGAGAAGTTATCAGCGACTTTACAATGTCTTAGGAGAAGTTATCAGTGATTTTTTTCAATGTCTGAATTTATCAGCGAAATCTCAATTCACGTGAGTAAAATTTCCTTGTGTAGTAAATTCTCCCGTTTTAACATCAACACAGATGATTCGCTTCACATGAAATTATGTGAACTTTTCTTTCGAAAACGCATTATAAATGTCACAGGATCTACTCAGTCAGGGTCTTATTCGGGCAGATATTAAAAACAAAATACAAATGCAAGTACGAGGTGGTTTATTGCTTTCATGTAAGTTAATAATTATTGACCGTTCACTTTATTATACTAAACGGTTCACTTACCAAATTAGATTGATCATCGGTCTTGACCAGTGGGAATTACGATGACACTTGTCTATGTTTGTAGTAGGATAAGGAGTTGTTCAGGTCAGGTCTTGCGGTCATAAAAAGTTTGAGCATTACATATATAATGGTACTCAGACTAAGAAATCAACCCATCAAAATACTGGATTTTGTATTTCGAGTACAAATTTTGTACCCTGTGTACTAAGTAAAATTTTATGACCGAGAGCCCAGATGTAACATGTTTTCTGTTAATAGGTTCAATATTTGCTGGAGTGGCAGCTGTCGAAGTGATCTGTAATATGGGAGCTTCTGTGAGTGCTAATGCTATATACGATGCAACATTAGACTTTAACAAAGGGATGACATTTTTTGTTATGGCTGGTTATGGTGGAGTAGGAATCATTTTATGTTTGTAAGTACTAGAATTATATAAAAAAAAATATGACGTAATCGTCTTCTACTTGTGAGTATTAGGTAGTAAAACATTATCAATGAGCACATTTGTAAGACTGAAACACGTTCGCAGACAATGCCCCCAAAAATTAATCTCAACCTTCCTATTGTGGTGTGGAACCTTGTGTTAAAACTTTGACTAAAGAAATATCCCATGTTCGTTCTTATGTTGTTTAAGTTATTGACTAAAGAAATATCTCGTATACTTATACCATCCTGTTATGTCAATAACTTAAACAACATAAGAACGAACATGAGATGAGACTATATTTGGGTCCTAATTGGCAGACATATCTAGCTTGATTTACATGTACCGGTATATGTCCATTCATATGATATGAATATATATGGTAAATGGTCCATTCTGTTGGTAAATGGTCGGACAAAAACATTGCGATAGGAATTATAAAAATTTCTGATACTATATGGATATATATAAAATGTAACGATAACATTCAATTATCAATCAGAGTACCAAAGGCTGACAGTTTTAATAGAAGTTATCTGCCAATGAACTCACATAAGTAAATAACCAAGTATAACAGGACAATGACAACTATTGGACCATTAGCCACTGGTACGGCGAGGATAAAAGAATCTTGTTACTTCAGTCCTCTAATAATGTTACAATGCTTCACCTACAAAACAACTAAACATAAACATGTTATGAAAAATATTTAGAATAGGACGTACCTCCTACAAGCTTAAAAGAGGGACGAAAGATACCAGGGGGACCAATCTGAGATAAAATAAAAATATTATCTTTGAGACCAATCTGAGATAAAAGCCTACAGTTCCTGTCCCATAAGAGTTAAATACATGTATCATTAGACCCTTTAAACTATATTTATTTACATTTTGAAAATATCTTTAACATTTAAAATTTTTTTGAAATTTAAATAAGAAGAAATTGCCTTGACCTTCTTGATGACTTTTGTCAGTTTAAAATGATATCAACTTTTAGTTAAAAATATGTTGGTAATTGTTGTCAATAGATATTTTTTGGAAACATTATCTAAAACAAATGTTAGCTTTTTCTGTTTCTATTTGTAGATTGTTTATAAGCGAGAAGAAGAAGACATTATCAGACTTAACACCGAAGTGAAGACATTTTCATAATAAAATACAGAACAAAAGAATACATACTAAAAGAGTTCAAAACAAAAGGACACCATACACCCCTGCCTTCACAAAAAAGTTCAAACACAAAAGGAAACCCTACATCACTGCCTCCCATAAAAAGAATTCAAAAGGACATCATACACCCCTTTCTCTCCAAAAAGTTAAATTTCACAGTTTCGAAAGCAAATTTTATTGCACACATCAAGACTTTCGTGGGTAATTTCTTAGTGTACTTCGTTGGGCACTTTAACTAGTACTGCTCTCTGAATTATTTTTAATTTTCTTCTTTCTTGAGGTTGTTATTTGTGCTATATCTTTGAGACAATGATTATCTTTTACTTCTAACTTGATGTTTCCTTTTACCAAACACCCATATATTGCACGGAATTAAAGCATAATATACTTCAAAGATTGAGACTACTAATACCTAAATTAAGTCCTGTGAATAGCGTTTTTTTCATTTCAATGTTTTGGTCTTTTTTTCGTCTTAAAAAAAATGCACCTAATTTATCATACAAACCAGGAATTCAAGGTACTCTGAATCGTTTAATACTCTGGACTATCCATTATCATATTATCTTTATATTTTCGTCGTTCACTTAAAATTATTCACTACATGTCCTCAACTTAAATGATGTTACCACATGAACTGCCATAAGAGTTTTTAGTGATAAAAATAAAGAGGTATGGCCAATTTCTCTGTAACTGTTTCACAAGCAGGGTCGACATAGAAAAGTTGTCACATAATAGAGAAATTCGAATTTTAAAGAGTTTATATCATACACTTTAAACATTTTTCAACAATTATGCTTATTTCCATAAATTACAAATGTTATTCATCGCTAAATGCTTTCAGGAGGTCCTCAGTGATTTATGAATATTCTGAATTCGAATTATGGAGGACTTAAAATATTTCTGGAGCTCCTTTAAGTACAATATTTTTTATTAATTCCGCGCCTTACCCCTTCTATTATAAGAATTCTACAGAAACAGTCAAACTTCCAAAACTTTGTATCTATGAAAGAATTTTGTAAATGTGTTTCTTAATTTGTCGAACCGATATCATTGACATGATAAGTTACAAGTTATACAATAAATAAAGAACATCAATACAGACTCTGGCAGAACACACGAGTTAATATGACTGGAAATGGCACATGCATCGTAGTACAGGTAGTTCGTGCATATTCCTGTCTATACACCTGGTTTCAAAGCTTAAAGTAAATGCGATTCCGACTGTTTTCGGCAGTTTGACTGATGATACTACCTCTATATATATTTTGTCCAGGAAAAATTAGTTTAAGAGTGATTTGTTTGCACTGCTTAAGCTAAGCAGTTCATGTACATGTATTTTAGTCCTGCATACAGGAAAATATGTTTTAATCATTGCATAATTCTTCAGTCAGTATATTTGACTATATTGAATCATTTTCCGCGATTAATTCTAGAATGACCCTGTTTTAAAATTTGTTCTTCCTTTACATTGAAGAGGAATACGACAACATTTGATGTTCTAGTTTTTATTTTTTGCTTTTAAAACGTTTGGTTTCAAGTGTACCTAACGGTTTATTCTACATGTCTAGAAACAAATGAGCAAAATAAATGTTCAACTTATTTTTAGGTCATTTATCTGCCTAGATTGGAGTAATTGTAATCAAAGAAATGTATGACTCAAAACTTAATCAGGTAAAACTGACATACCAGGGGTGTTTGTTGTCCATTCGGGTAGTATTAGCTTTTCTCAAATTTATAATTATTTGGCTTTCTCCAATTCTTTGGCAATTAAACCCTTTCCGGACCCATTGTATAAAAAAAATAATCAACGTGTGGTTGCCGATGATCTCGGAGAGATGATTGGATGAGTTGAAGGGTCATAACCTTTATCATCTCACTGGACGAATCAAAATGTGTTAACAGGACTGGTGTTAATGAAATTGACAACTTTGTGGAATGTGGAAGGCACTCTAAGGGGATTTTTGTTTATCAAAAATGAAAATTTATTTGATGATCATCAGAGAAACAGATTCCTACCTAGTTAATCGTGGATTATCGGATTTATCCAATCTCGATAGTTAAATTATCAATTTTAAAGTCCTCGGCGAGACTCGGACTTTATAAAATTCGATGATTTAACTATCTTAATTGGATAAATCCGATAATCCACTGGTACCAATGTAAGAATCTATGTGTATCCCATATAACAAATGCTTGATCATTAGTTAGCAATAACCAACAATTCATCTTGTTTAATAATGTAAACGAAAAGTCTTATTCATATTTTGATGTAAAGTTATTTTTTTCCATGTAAAACAGACTTATAGGCAATATTATCTTTTTTTCTAATAAATGCCGCATGGCCGAGAAATACGAAATCTGCCACCCCGTACTTTACATTTCGAGGCAAAAGTAACTTTAAAACCAAAAAGTTTTGACTGGGAAGCATATTATGATATTAATTTATTTCTATACAAGTTTGAATTTTGGTAGCATCACTTTTACCGTTCTAGAGTTATGCCCCTTTACAAATAGAAAAATTGTTGAATTTTTCGTTTCCGTTCTCTAATTTTAGTATGCCTCAACCAAATGTTATAAAACTTATGCACAATGCTTATTACCACAAAACACAGATCAAGTTTGAATTTTGGTGGCGTCACTTTAACCGTTCTTGAGTTATGCCTCTTTATAAATGGAAAAATTGCTAAATTTTTATTTTCTTCTAAATATCAAGTAATTTTAAAATTGGAGTTATCTTCCTTTGTCCATGATTATAGTTGAATCAACTACAATCAATGCTTTATACAATGCAATGTTTAATTTTGACTTCCACTGATAAAATACAGATCAAGTTGAATTTGGGTAGGGTCACTTTAACCATTATTGAGTTATGCCCCTTTATAAATCGAAAGATTGCTAAATTTTTAGTTTCCATTCTGTAACTTAAGTTTGCTCCAACCAAACATTATGAAACCTATACATAATATTCATTACCACAAAACTAAGATCAAGTACAAATTTTTTGTTTCCGTTTTCTAACTTTAGTTTGCCACAACCAAATGTTATGAAACTTATACACAATGCTTATTACTACATAATACAGATTAAGTACGAAATTTGGTGGCGACACTGTTACCATTCTTGAGTTATGTCCCTTTATAAACATACAAATTGCTGAATTTTTCGTTTCCGTTCTCTAACTTTAGTTTGTTTCAACAAAATGTTAAAAAACTTATACACAACCGTTCTAGAGTTATGCGTGTTTATAAATGGAAAAATTGCTAAATTTTTATTTTCTTCTAAATATCAAGTAATTTTAAAATTGGAGTTATCTTCCTTTGTCCATGATTATAGTTGAATCAACTACAATCAATGCTTTGTACAATGCAATGTTTAATTTTGACTTCCACTGATAAAATACAGATCAAGTTGAATTTTGGTGGCGTCACTTTAACCGTTCTTGAGTTATGCCTCTTTATAAATGGAAAAATTGCTAAATTTTTATTTTCTTCTAAATATCAAGTAATTTTAAAATTGGAGTTATCTTCCTTTGTCCATGATTATAGTTGAATCAACTACAATCAATGCTTTATACAATGCAATGTTTAATTTTGACTTCCACTGATAAAATACAGATCAAGTTGAATTTGGGTAGGGTCACTTTAACCATTATTGAGTTATGCCCCTTTATAAATCGAAAGATTGCTAAATTTTTAGTTTCCATTCTGTAACTTAAGTTTGCTCCAACCAAACATTATGAAACCTATACACAATATTCATTACCACAAAACTAAGATCAAGTACAAATTTTTTGTTTCCGTTTTCTAACTTTAGTTTGCCACAACCAAATGTTATGAAACTTATACACAATGCTTATTACTACATAATACAGATTAAGTACGAAATTTGGTGGCGACACTGTTACCATTCTTGAGTTATGTCCCTTTATAAACATACAAATTGCTGAATTTTTCGTTTCCGTTCTCTAACTTTAGTTTGTTTCAACAAAATGTTAAAAAACTTATACACAACCGTTCTAGAGTTATGCGTGTTTATAAATGGAAAAATTGCTAAATTTTTATTTTCTTCTAAATATCAAGTAATTTTAAAATTGGAGTTATCTTCCTTTGTCCATGATTATAGTTGAATCAACTACAATCAATGCTTTGTACAATGCAATGTTTAATTTTGACTTCCACTGATAAAATACAGATCAAGTTGAATTTGGGTAGGGTCACTTTAACCGTTCTTGAGTTATGCCCCTTTATAAATGGAAAAATTGCTAAATTTTTATTTTCTTCTAAATATCAAGTAATTTTAAAATTGGAGTTATCTTCCTTTGTCCATGATTATAGTTGAATCAACTACAATCAATGCTTTATACAATGCAATGTTTAATTTTGACTTCCACTGATAAAATACAGATCAAGTTGAATTTGGGTAGGGTCACTTTAACCATTATTGAGTTATGCCCCTTTATAAATCGAAAGATTGCTAAATTTTTAGTTTCCATTCTGTAACTTAAGTTTGCTCCAACCAAACATTATGAAACCTATACACAATATTCATTACCACAAAACTAAGATCAAGTACAATTTTTTTGTTTCCGTTTTCTAACTTTAGTTTGCCACAACCAAATGTTATGAAACTTATACACAATGCTTATTACTACATAATACAGATTAAATACGAAATTTGGTGGCGACACTGTTACCATTCTTGAGTTATGTCCCTTTATAAACATACAAATTGCTGAATTTTTCGTTTCCGTTCTCTAACTTTAGTTTGTTTCAACCAAATGTTATAAAACTTATACACAACCGTTCTAGAGATATGCGTGTTTACAAATAGAAAAATTGCTGAATTTTGAGTTTCTGTTCTCTACTTAAGTTAGCCTCAACCAAATGTTATGAGACTTACACACAAAGCTTATTACCACAAAACTCAGATCAAGTTCAAATTTGGGTAGCGTCACTTTTACCGTTCTTCAGTTATGTCCCTTTATAACTACATGTATATGATATGCAAGCGGGGGCATCTTCTGTTTTCACATGTGGACACTATTCACATTTTTTTACATCTGTACTGCCTACTGGCGACTCAGTCCTGAGTGTAAATGGTCATTCAGTATGTTAAGAAAAAGACCAAAATTTATAAGGCCTATCTGGCCTAATTGATTTCTAAAATATATTTCATTGTACACCTTCAACATTTATCATTCATTTGTTTATTTCTTAATTTGTGTGAATTAACAGTAAATGCTAATTACTACACATTCATACCATAACAAAACTGCCTTACTGTATTGGTATCACTTATATTTGTATCCATATAACAAAAAAAAACTGAAAAGAGAATACTTTTGCAATAGCTTTTTCATATTGAATACTAAAACTTTTTAGATATTTAGACATATTAAGTAGATGTTCACAATATCCACTAGACATTTTATCATATGACTTCTGTAGTTAGTTATGAGTCTTTGAAGCATGCTCACAAAGGTTCTTTTGTTGATATCATTTTCATACTGGTCAAAACTTTGTTTTGCTTTGACCAGCTTTGGAGGAGATATTTTCAAAGATTTAATAAAAAATAAAACAGAAATTCACTTTCTAGCTCATCTAGCCCCAATCATCATGTCAGGCATTGTCATTACTAAAAAACATTAAATGTCTTCTAAACTGAGAAACAATTTCCACATTTAACCGAAATCTTTTACTTATGATACTGACAATCCCCCACAAAGTAATATAAATAGAACCATACAAATAGTAAGCAAATACATGTTCTCAGATACCATCTCCCATATAAAAAAATCACATTAAGAAAAAAATGAACCTATTATGTGTTCCTCTCCTAGCTACAAAATGTATCCAAAATCAAAGATGTGGAACATATATATTCTATCATAATCATTTGGTAATTAATGCAATTAGTATCTCTTCCATGTCCATGTTGAACATAAACAACACCCCTAATGCTCATGTTGGTTGTCATTGTGCAACACAATTAATACATAGAAAACATAAAACATAGAACTCCTTTTGTCATATAAAACACTGTCAAACATCCAATCATACTATCCACACTGATCTGTGTCCACACTTGTTTATTTCTATAAAATATACTGAATCGTATGGCAAGCCGTTCTCGTCAAAGCTTTTTTTCGAAAAATTTACACACTGAGATCTCAAAAAGACACACTGAGATTAAAAAGAAAAGAAAATGACACACTGAGATTTCAAAAAATGAAAAGCACACAATGAGAATTGAAATTACACACTGAAATTTCAACAATACACACTGAGATTTAAAAATGCACACTGAAATTTCAAAAATGCACACTGAGATGTATATGCACATTACTAGTGAATAGTTATGATTCAATAGATTTATACCTTAGTCACCTGAACTCATATCACACAAAATTATCAATTGGAACACCTCGCGTGACTTTCGTGCCTCACCTCGCACGTAAGCATAACATTATCCAAACACTTTTTCGACTTCCTCCGCTCGGCGCTTAATTTTACATTTTCGGCCAATGCACCCCTTTTGAAAATCCTGGAATAAGAATAAGTTTCCATAAAAACTAAGAAGTGATTGAGCAAACAGAGCACTAGGGGCGTATACATTTGATTGACGGAGATTGATAATTGGTCGGTACTTTCTGTGAAATATGGCCATTGGGATTCGGCACAAACAATTCTTTAAAAAGAAACTTCTACACTTGTATATACAACGAGCTACGACGACACAAAGTTCTACACAATGATAATAGATAATCTAGCCAACACGAACCATTTAACGTTTTACACGATGATAATACAAAATCTAGCCAACACGAATCATTTGACGTTTTACACGATGATAAAACAAAATCTAGTCAACACGAATCATTTGACGTTCTACGCACTGATAATACATAATCTAGTCAACACGAATCATTTGACGTTCTACACGATGATAATACAAAATCTAGCCAACACGAATCATTTGACGTTCTACACGATGATAATACAAAATCTAGCCAACACGAATCATTTGACGTTCTACACGATGATAATACAAAATCTAGCCACCACTCTTTGGGTAACTCATATAAGATCATGTTTCATTGTTGATTTATGTGCCGACTCTTGATAAAATTTACTTACTTACTTACTTACTTACTTATTTCTTTGAACCAGATTAAGAGGAACAAGGTTGGAATCTAAACAAAACGAGTTAGTGAAGCCCGTCACATATTTATATCTGTCTCAAGCACAAGGAATCCCGTCAGTGCATAATCTTTATCAAGTGGGATGGAGACAATATGATTAGAAAGCCAAAAACGAATGTCGGCATCAAACAATAAAGGGCCTGGACATTACAACCATAACCATCAAGAATCACAGGCCCGTAGTCAGGCTGTTTCTGAGGGGAATTTTCAAAAATCAATTTTGTCTGAGAGAGCAATAACCTTATACATTACAGATCATCATTTTTCATTGTAAAGTACATTGGAATTTCAACAATGCTTAACGATGTATTTTTGACAGAAACAAATTGCAATCATATTTTCTTTATTCATATCGGTTACAACAAAATAGTCAACAGCTGAGGACGTCGAAATGAAAATTTAATTTTAAGCCAGGCAGTTGACATGAATTCAGAGAAGGCCCCATAATATTTATATTTATTCTCCTGTAACTGATGAATCGACTTTTATCACAATATTTGACTGACTGGTATGTATAACTGTTGGTCGCTTCCTGTTTTCCATAACCAATATTCTATTTAAAAAAGAAACACATAACAAACAGTTTACAATTATGGTTAACATAAAAGGTAGTTTCGACTATAATCTTGAAGCCGCCGGGCCTCCCTAAAAAAAGAAGAAAAAAAAGACAACTGTGAGAGCATGAAAATCAAAAGGCCTAAACTGAAAATCCTTTTTTTTTTATCAACATTGCTTGATGAAGTCGTAAAAGGGAGGTGTACGATAGCAAAGATACAATCGAAGTTCGAAGAGAAACCATGGCAAAAATAAAACAAAAAAACGACGAAAAGAAAACATTGTACAAAACACTACACAAAAACTAAAAACTAGCAACATGAACCAAACGACGAGCTGGCGTGATCTCATAATGTTCGGAAGGTTAAGCCAATTCTGCTTAAAAGTAAATACAAATTATAATGATAAAATTAACTCTGTGATGTCAGAATCGAAGAAAAGAGGACGAATTGTGTGACGACAAGTGGAACATCCGTGGTCGTCTGTGAGACAGCTAGATATTCAATAAAAGTCAAGCAAATCATGATGGCTTCCGATTGCTTCAATACCTTTTCAGTTCCTTTGTAAGCAGCAACCATGAATCATGATAGGAAACACGAGGTCGAATATCGTATCAACTGGGAGATGTAAACTCTCCACACGAAAGAGTAGTCCGAGATTACTCTGACGTCTGGCGGCCTTTTAAGGATTTGCTGTCGCTGTCTTTAGAAAAAAAACTCATCTTTTTCTACTCAGTATAAAGTATGATTGCAATGACGTGGATATAAACAATTATAGGTCACCCTACGGCCTTCAACAATGAAAAAAACCATACCGTATAGTCAGCCATAAAAGGCCCAGACATGAAAAGTCTGAAACAGTTCAAACGAGAAAATCAACGGCCTAATTTATAACAATACACTTAACGAAAACAAATATGACAGACATGAACCAACGACAACCAATGAATTACAGGCTCCTGAGTAGGACAGGCATATAAAGAATATTGCGGGGTTAAACATGTTTATGAGCGCTAAATGACGAGGCAGTGATGTAACATAAAAACATAAGAACAAAGTTTAAAAATCAGTTGCAAAAGGCTCAACTGAAAAGATTGTCACGAAGCACAACTAACATAAAAACAATAACGCACCGATATAAAATTCTCGCAGTTACTGAAAGCCTGTTCAAATTACAACCTAATAAATAATCATGTTCTCACAGGCTTATTTATTAGTCATTACACATCAAACGATTTCTGGCTAAAGGCATCATAAAAACGCATGAATTTGTGCAGGACAATTTAGAACTCGTTATATGATTTTGACGGTTGTTCAAAATGAGCGCTATTTAATAATTTCTGGGTATGTCTATTTTGGTGATTGTTTATCGTTGTGTTGCTGTCTCGTTTAGGTTTATCTGGCATTTTATTTGATTTATAAGTAGGATATTTTGTATGATCGGCAATGATTTATAAGTAGGATATTTTGTATGATCGGCAATAGGAAAAAGCCTATTTTTTACTAAATTACAAATGATCTAATTTAAAAAAAAAAAAAATGAAAAGCGGATAACACGAAAGGGCTACAATTACTTAAGGTGGTTTTATACTTACAATGACAGAATGATGCCAACACCTCCAATTCCAGCCCATATCAAGAATGTAAGTCCTCTATATATAGTTACTGTGGAATCGTATATTATACCGATAACCACTGTACCAAATAAACTAGAAAACGATTCTACAGCAGCCACTCCAGCAAAAATAGATCCTGAAATTTATTGCAATAATTATTAATCAATTAATGCATATTTAAGTAAGTTTTTAAATTTGAAAATGACTAAATATATTGTTTTTATGATTCTGATCCATGTTGATATCATTAGGCTACGTTTTATTTATTAGGCTTTATTTTGACATAGTATTTTCTAGACATGTCTTTCCGAATGTGTATTGTATATGATTAAATCTCCACGATTGTCTTTGTAACCAAATACCCATGTTCTCAAGTTAGATTTAGGGTATAAACCAATGAAACAGCATCAGGTCATTGTGGACTTCGAATTAGTTATATTTTGGTATTCCATCTGCTGTAAATATTATTTTCCCTTTTCGTGACTCGCAGAGTTATTATCATTATATACTATTGTTAAGTGATGTTATTGCATTGAAGGAACAATTTTCAATTAGTTACTTTTTGTTAGAAACTGTTACGTCGACTTTTTTTTACCATAACAACCAAAGACATTATATTTGAGGAATTTTTTTCAAAACAACATTAAGATAAATTTTCGCTGAGCTTGGGTTATGACCCATAATCAAAATTTCTGTTTCCTAGACATTTTGACGTTAGAATCTTGATAAAGTTGTGATTCATAAATGTGATTCGCGAAAAAAAAATAAATTTCAGTCTGTTTTACTGAGGTGAAAATCGGTTGAAATCTAGAATAAGCTCATAAATCAGTTTGTGTAACATCAGGCCGTTCGTTTTCTTGTTTGAATTGTTTACAATTTGTTATTTCAAAACCTCTTTACTTATAGCTGTCTGGAATAGGTTTTGAACATTTTTGAAGGTCATAAGGTGACCTATATTTTTTTAAATCTACGACATTTGGTATCTACGGAGCCCCGCTAGGGACATGCAAAGGAAAAAAAATATATTGTGCGCACAAAATAATATATTGTGCGCACAATTTAAATATATTGTGCGCACAAACTAATATATTATGCACACACAATAATATATTGTGCGCACAGTTTAGATATATTGTGCGCACAATTTAAACATATATTGTGCGCACAATTTAAATATTTTGTGCGCACAACATAGTATATTGGATAACTATATTTGGTATGTGCATACCTAGCAAGGTCCTCATGTTAGCCTGTCAAACAGTTTTCACTGGACCTTGACCTCATTTCATGGATCATTGAACAAGGTTAAGTTTTCGTGGTTAAGTCGACATCTCGGATACTATATGCAATAGGTCTTCTATATTTGGTTGTAAGGAATTATTTTAAGGTGTACATGTCCAACTGGCAGGTGTCATCTGACCTTGACCTCATTTTCATGGTTCAGTGGTCCGGCAAAGTTAACTTTTTGTGTTTTGGTTATATTTCTCGGATACTATAAGCATTTAGTTAAATATATTTGGTGTATTGAATGTTTGTAAGGTGTACTTGTTTGTCTGGCAGTAATCATCTGACCTTGATCTTATTTTCATAGTTCATTTGTCCATGTTATTTGATTCTTGTTTGGTCTGTTTTTCAGATATTATAAGGAATAAGTGAACTATATTTGGTTTATGGAATGATTGTAAGGTACATATATTTGTCTGGTCGGTATCATCTGACATTGACCTTATTTTCATGGTTTATTGGTCAATGTTAAATATCTCAGATTTGGTTTGTTTTTCAGATACGATAGTAATGGTATAGTAGAACTGTATTGTATGTATAAACTAATTATAAGGCGCGTATGTCGTATAAGGTTTGTTTCTGGGATACTTTTAGCTATTGGTTAATGTTAATTTAACATAATGTTAATTTTATGTAATGCTTGGGGTATACACTTCCTTTTTTTACTTTCAACATAAATTCAATTATGAACACAAGAACAGGCGAGACATTTCAGTGTGTCCACTCTTGTTTTTCAGTATGTCTATGCAGACTTATATATATGAGAAGTCAATTGGATATGTATTGATTGATAATATCCTAAACCAGGGAACATGCTTCCCATTTTTTGCAATTGAATTTAAACTAGCTTCCAGTACTCGAACAGCGATACTTTGTTTTTTTTTAATTATAAGTTTTGTGCCTTTTCTTCATTTAATAAATTCATTTTCAACTATTTTTACAAGTTATTCTTTTTTTGTGCTGTTTCAGCTTTATCACAGTTTTGTGGATGATTGCTCGTTCATAAACATGTTTAAACTATGACATTTTATGTTTGCCTGTTTCAAGTCAGGAGTCCGTAATTCAAGGCTTGCATCGATACCCGTCTGTCAAATTTGTTTTCGTTGATTGTTTCTTTGTATGAGCTATGATGGATATGTAGTTTTGTCATTGACAATCGCACCGATCTCGATCAATCGCGCCATAAGTATTTGAATAAATAATGCACCAAAACGGACCATATTTGGAAAAAAATGAATCATAGTTGTTTCGTTTGTTTTTTCAAAATATTCCACTGAGGTATACATTTTCATTGACTATTCCTAAATTACTTTTTACCATTTCAGTTTCATAATGTATACGGACAACATTCTGTAAAATTTTATCATGAAATCAATCAAAAATATATTCTTGTGACCTATTGACATCTCTCTTCTATTAATCAGAACTAAAACTTGACCTGAAACATTTTTACACAACTCTTAAACAGTTTACATCATAATAAGCATACTGTTCTAAGTCAATTGCCTGTTGTTCAGTGATTGTCGTTTGTTGGTGTGGTTCATAGGTGTTTCTAGTTTTGTTTATAATTAAGACCGTTGGTTTTCCCGCTTAAATTGTTTTACAATAGTCATTTTGGGGCCCTTTGTAGTTTGCTGTTTTTTGTGAGCCAACGCTCCGTGATGAAGGCCGTACTGCAACCTTTAATTGTTAACTTTTAATACATTGTGACTTGGATGGAGAGTTGTCTCATTGGCACTAATATTACATCGTCGGATTTGTATATGTACTCAGTTTTACCTTTATTTGATGGTGAACTTCTTATGAATGTGACCTACCGAATTAGACTTAATACCGGGTTTGTACTAACATGAGCAACATGACGGGTGCCTCATGTGGAGCAGGATCTGCTTACCCTGAGATCACCCCCAGTTTTTGGTGGGGTTCGTGTTGCTTAGTCTTTAGTTTTCTATGTTGTGTTTTGTGTACTATTGTTTGTCTGTTGGGCTTTTTCTTTTTTAGCCATGGCGTTGTCAGTTTATTTTCGACTTATGAGTTTGAATGTCCCTTAGGTATCTTTCGCCTCTCTTTTCTTAGACTGATCACACCGTCACATTTCAATAATGAACAGTGAATTTTAGGTCAAAACCGTACTTAAACATGATCAAACATAGTAATCTTTTAATAAAGAACTTGTACGTGTACTTAGTTTTAAGTCGATTTGACTTACTTTTTTTTACACTTTTACAATGATATCTTCAGAGAAATCACAGAATTTATTTAAGTTGATGACACTACAACTTCATCATAAACTACTAAAACATTTATCCTAAAAAGAGACGGACGGATGGACGGACAAAAAGACTTTTAAATATAATGACCATCTTATATGGTCTTATATATTATATCGTCGACGGGAAATAACAAAATCAAAGTCGTGAATTGAGCAGCATGTCATTCTTGTGTCAATCAACATAATCCAAATCTTTTGATTTGCAGACATAAAGTATAATGCATAAGCACTAATAGTAGTTTTAAAATTGTCACAAGAGAATAAGTAAAACCATATTATCAAATAAAATTGATAATGGATATGGGGAATGTGTCAAAGAGATAACAACCCGACCAAAGAGCAGAAAACAGCCCAAGGCCACCAATGGGTCTTCAACACAGCGAGAAAATCCCGCATTCGGAGGCGGGCTTCAGCTGGCCCCTAAACAAAAATGTGTACTAGTTCGGTGAAAATAGACGTCACACTAAACTCCGAAACATATAAATGAACTAAAATTCAAAAACATACAAGACTAACAAAGGCCAGAGGCTCCTGACTTGGGAAATGCGGCGGTGCTAAACATGTTTTATGAGATCTCAACCCTCCCCCTATACCTCTAGCCAATCTAGAATAAATAAACACACAGCAATACGCACAGTAAAACTAGGTTTAAAAGAAGTCCGAGTCCGATGTCAGAATAGGTAACAAAAGAAACTAAGCAAAATGACAATGATACATAAATTAACAAAGGACTACTAGCAGTTACTGACATGCCAGCTCCAGACCTCAATTAAAATGATTGAAAGATTATGTCTTTATCATATGAAAATCAAGCACAATCCCTCCCGTTAGGGGTGTAGTGTCATACCATCATAAAATATTTGAGAAGAACATAACCCGTATCATGCCAACAACTGATTTTAGAATAAATGTGTTTATTTCCGATGCAAAGACCCTATGAGTGAAGCAATATTAATACCAACATATGCCATCTTTAATGACCTGACAACAGTATCGTAACTATATCCCTTCTGAATAAGTCTGTTTAAAAGGTTTGGTTAGCTTTTGAGCTGTCAAAGTCTATATAAGTTCGATAGTGACCTCACTCTAATGCCAAGTCTGTTTCAAACTGTTCCAATAAAAACCGATACAAAGTTTCAGCTTCAAGCGCATCTGTTGGTAAACCAAGTTCTATTTCTTCCATGTATAAGTTTGCGAGATCGTAAATGTCTTCATCGCATGGTAGACTACAATACGTAGATTGCTCTAAACAAATTTCGACTTCATCGATGTCAGGGCTACGAACATAGTCACGTGTTTCGTATGTTCCGAGTTGCTGTCTGCTTGACGTACATAAACATAAGTATATGCTATATACATTTCTTTACAGTTTTTTAAATGAAAACAATTAATTTCATCACTATAAATGAATTTTATGTCGGAGTACTGCCTCGTTATGCCATTTAATTTGTTATTCAAAAAGGTTTTTATTCTAGTGTATAATAAAAGCTTAACAAACAAATATTCGAGTTTAAAACAAATGGCTAGCCTTAAAAGATTGCATATATAAAAAGATTAACGGACTTACAATTTTAAGCCTTGAAAATTGGACCGGCGGGCAGACAGAAGTTTAGAGGGCACTCTTAGTTTTACAAAATTGGGTATATGCCCATTAATGGGTACAATATCATGACTCTTCTTTTTGTTTATCCACAACTACATTAACAGTGGACTTAAACTGTTTTCCTTTTGTTTCGCTTGGTCTATATGATTATATTAGCAAAAAAAATGAGTTGTTAAAAAAGGGAAAGGGGAAGGATAATTTTGATTGAAAATAAATACATGAATCAGTCTCAGGAAACAGAATCTTATCAAGTTTTTATGAAGAGGATCTCCTGAAAATAAGCAATCCTCTTTAATATTTTTAAAAAATGTCATTCAAAACTGTGAGTTTTCTTTTCTATAAATTCCCCACCACGATTCAATTCTTTTGTTATATTGGCTTGTGTCGTAAACAAACGCACTGTTATTTCGAGCATACGTATCATTATCATTGCGTCGTTAAAAGAAACTGCATTTCAGCGACCTTACTATTTTCGGTACCAAGATCTCCTCTTATCACCATAGATTCTTACTTCTGAAGAATAGCTTTAACAAAATACCCTGAAATAACCCGAGGGTCACTACTAGTCTGCCCTGCCTCCAACCATATTATCAGTCGAGAAAAGCCATATATGCACCCATTTATGCATATTCCAAAAGGTTTAAGTTTATCTTAGGAATCCAAATGCCATATGAAGTTTGGCCCTTTCGAACAATATTCTTTCCTATATAATCGACCTTTTCGTCGCATTTCAACTCCTTTATAATTTGCATCAAAATTCGCACATCCTCTTTTTGTATAGTTAAACCTGCTTGTCTACATTTCATAAACATCCAGCGATAACGATGAAGCCTTCCAGATCCCTTAATGTTGTCTTCGATGAAAGCAACGACATCTTCAAGTGGCGTGTTGTGTTTTCGACGAAATAAACGTAGCTTCTTCAGTATTCGTTTCAGGTGTCGGTAAGAAACAATGCAGTGATGATATTTTGCTAAAAGTGGGAGTATTTCCATGTAATCTAACCCCATTTCAAAATATCACGTTGAAAAGGAGACATTAAAGCGCCGTACCATGTGTAAGCTCAATGAATTTGAGCGCACAATATATTATTTTGTGCGCACAATACATATAAGTTGTGCGCACAATATGTTTAAGTTGTGCGCACAATATATTATTTTGTGCGCACACTATATTATTTTGTGCGCACACTATATTATTTTGTGCGCACAATATATTTAAGTTGTGCGCACAATATATTATTTTGTGCGCACAATGTATTTATTTTCTTTGCATGTCCCTAGCGGGGCTCCGTAGTGGTATCTGCCTAGTTGACAATCATACCACATCTTTTTTGTTTGTTATAAAGCAGTTTACAATAAAAAATATAACTACTTCAATCTTAAACCGACAGGATTTCTCTTGATATAACAATGACAAAAAGAGGGAGAAAAAATATAGTCCGAAGTATCCACTCTTTTTTCTTTGTACATGTTTAGTAACATCCACTTCATTTGGAACTCTGAGTTGTCTTATTGGCAATCATGCCACATTTCCTTATTTTTATATTAGTTATATGTATTTAATCTTTTATCAGATTCATATATTAAGTGTTATCTTACCTCCTATACATTTCTAGGAATATGATTGGTTAAAAGCAACCGCGTGGAGATCGTGTATATTTCATATGGGGTTAGTAGGCGTGGTTTATTTCAATACACGGTTAGTAGTGGTGTTACGTCCCTTTGTGAAAACAACACGGTGTTGAGGGAAAATCTGAAAGGTTTCAACAGACGAAAAATTTGATGATGAACGATTGAAAAAAATTCATAAAACACATAGAAAAGCTAACAAGTTGTTATTGTTGGCATTTGTTTGTGTATAGACCAATGGAAGTAGGTTCTTAATATAGAAGACTTGATCACTTTGATAGGCCACTAGTCTAAATACCACATGTGAAGATAGTCGGTAAGATAAATTCGTTACACAGTGTGCTAGTGACCTAATACGATATATATGGAATTTACTGACCCCATATATATCGTATTAGATCACTAGCACACTATGTAACTAATATTATCATTATCATGATTAGGGAGGGAATTCCTTATCCTCATGATCTAAACGATACCTTATGAATCCGGGAAGTATTTCACAACGGGCTTCATTCAAGGTCATTGATATTATGATCCCAAAACTTTTGGGGATGAGTCGGATATTGTTGGCTGGTACTGTCCAATGATTGTGACAAGTCTTGTTATCCTTTTTAAGTATTACTTATAGATTCCTAATTAGAAACCAATCCCACTTGATTTCTTACAGAATACCTTGCTTTTCAGGCGGTGCCATCCGGGACATTATCCCTCTGATCATTGGCATTGTCACAATACATCCTATACTGGATATAGCAGCTGAAATACAATGTTTTCATTCAGTACAAGCTAATATAGAGATACAGAAAATGAAATAAAACTATGTATACAAAAAAGTATCGACAGATACATCAAATGACCATATTTTTTTTATTTTAGAAAGATATTAACACAATATATAGTGTCAATTATATAATCTACATTTAGATTCTGAGCTATTTTCGTCCTTATTTAATCTATATAACAGAGAGAATGTTTTAAAGTACTGATTTGAATGTTAAGCACGTTTTTGATTTACATTTCTAGTTTGCCTAAAACAAATCCTTATCTGAATGATGTGAAACCAGTTATTTATGTATTTAGCAGTATTTCAACATACCTATATACATCATCAGATTTGTCTTAGCCATTCCTTGTATGATTAATGCTGCTGTGGTGGTTATACATCCAACAAGAGATATAACCTCATCTGTAGTACAGACCTGTAATATTATTATCAGAATTACTCCGCCTATGTTCCAGAGAATAATTCTTATCCCAGTGTATAGTCCAATTGTAATAGAGTTCCAACAGAAAGGAGCGCTGATAAAATACAAACTATCCACACTCGACCTGCTTAAAGTAGTCAGTGCCGACATTGAGAATGTAATTATGAGAACAACAAACACCCATCGCTTTCCGAATGGAGAGAAATTACTTCTATAACAGTCGAATACTCTCTGCATGTTTTGGAGAATTGAAACATTTGATCGTCTTCTTGATATTGGCAGTGTTTCTTGTACCATGGTCAGTACACATAGAAATGGAATAATTGCTATAATGACTGCTATAAACTGGGGATAATGATATCCATTAGTCCATGTGATCAAATATCCTGACAAAAGAGAGGCTCCAATAGCCCCCAATCCAACTCCACCATCAAGAAGACTTATAATGAGAGAACGACCTTTTCCAGGTGTCGTTGTGTCAGCAACAAAGCAAAATGACATTGAAAGTGTTGCAACCCATGCACCAGTGCACGCTTCAATCATATAAAAGATTAACATCAGTCTGACATTCATTTTATAATACATTCCTACCGCACACAAAATATTCTTTATTATCGTCCCAGCTAAAGGTACAATAAAGAATAGTTTTCTACCATGGACATCACTATATGTAGCAAGATTTATATTTATTAACACACCGGGAATAATGAAAGCAAGATTTGTATATATGGCCCATTTGGCTGAAATTTGTTGTATACTGGATTCTATGAAGTATGCAATTGAGGATTTATTTACATTACACGATGAAAGACTTCCGCTCAGCGAATGTGGGACGCCGGGATACTTCTCTTCCAAGAAATAAACATATGTATATTGTCCAACCACATATAAACTTAAAATGTACGACAGCATATGTAGGAATGGTATGCTAATTAAAATGGAAAAGGTCAGCCATCTTGGATATCTAAGTTTAATATCTTCACAGTTTTCTTTATTTACCAATAATGGTGCCTCCTCGGATCGATCATAGGCTACCTTGGATGTCATGCGAGTCCTGATAATAAAAACCAATAAATAAATAAACAAATAGTTCATTAAGTAAGTAAGTAAGTAAAAATTTATTTTGATTCGGCATATTGACAAACATACTACAACATAAGATCTAATGAGCTTTTCGCCGAATATAAAAACATATGCAATAACAAATAAAACAAAGGCATACAGCATGCAAATAAATAGTAATAAAACAGCACCACATTTGACTCTAGCATATAGTTATACATGTATCTTGCTAATACTAAAAACATATATATGAAGCACTAATACAGGAATTATTTCAACTTTTCATTTAAAAAATTATCTTAATTTGAATGAAATTGACATTTAGTCTGTGAAGTGCACAATGGTCCAGCTATTTGTAAAAAGTATGTCAGGCGTCAGAGCAATCAACGAACCCAGCAAGTCCTAAAAAGGCCATTACATGTCAGAGCAATCGCAGGACTATTTATCATTATGAGTAAAAAGGATAGACAAGTTATTTGAAATGTAGCCAAATCTAAAATATTTTTGTTTTCAATATGAAAAAAAGGAAAGTATGCTTCATAATACGTAAATGAGACGGCAACAAATCATCCCTCATCATCTATATATGAATTAAATAGAAATTATCAGAGATCTGCCATCAATAGTATTAAAGTTCTCCAAATAAAAAAGACTCAAACAAACCCATTACGCAATGACATGATAAAAGCAACCCGACGAGGTTCCTGACTTGGGACACAGTGACATGGCGGGTCAGACACATGTGGTGGATTAAAATAGCATTTTTGCGTATCTTTCGGTTTAAAACCACTAATTCGGACCCGGTCTTAAAGAACTTACTAGAAAGTAGAATTAAAGTATTAAATATAAAATTTAAACAAATTTTAGATAGTTTCTACGAATTGCTGTAACTTTGTCAACAAGTAAGATATTTGGGTAATTTTAGTATGAAATGAAAGCTTAAGGACTTGAAATCACTGTAGAACCCTTGTCGAAAGTTTTTTATTAATAAAAATTAAAATAGGAGGACATATTTTCCCTGTTGTTCAGATAAGAGGTACCTGTTTTTGTACCACCAAACTTCCGGGAACCAGTGTGCTCTAATATGTAATTTAAAAAGCAGACTTTAACATAGAAAGCAAAGGGGCTTTGAATTACTGGTTTTATTCCTATTATCCTCAATAAGCGGTCAAACTCCAGAAAAAAACATGAACAAATATATTGAAACCGGTATCGCTAATTGCATAAGGTTATGTCTACCATTCAAGCGAGAAAGGTTTTCAAACTTAAATATATTAGTTCGATTTATAACACTATAATTTAAAAAGATTAAATATACAATAATCGACTCCTCTGTAAAAAAAAAACCCCAAAAACAACAACAACACACAAACACACACTCACATTCACAGTCTTTATGATAAACTTTTGAATACACAGGCCCGAAGATCAATTTCACTAAATTTTTTAGGGGGATTCTGTTGGCCTGTATAGAAGATTTTTATAGGCCCGAAAGCAATTTTACAATCCTGGGCTGGTAGGCCTGTGGTAAAGCGTGAAGACTGCATTCAACTTACTGTTAAGTAAAGTGATTGAAACTGCTTTTGATACCCCTTTTCGTTTAAACAGGCATAAGAGGGCATGAAGTTTACATTTAATATAAATATGACAATTGCATAATTTATAAGCCTTTTTTCATTTGTTTGTTTATGTTTGTTTTTAAGCCATTGGCCCATATGGGCGTAACGTACTTTTCATTAAAGTATTAAATATAATAAAGTGTAATAGATCTTACCTTTTATCTTCATTTTCTATACTCTGCATTGTATTCGGAACAAAAAGTGTATATACTAATTTTAAAATCTATATGCCTAGGCCTACTTTCGGAACTTTTTCTGCTCCAAAAAACAAGTTTCTGCAATTAGTATTACACTTCGATATTATGGAGAGTCTGTGTATATTATATATTTATAACTTTTCGATCTATTTCCTGACATTTGACTTATCTAAATTGATACCCGAAATGTTGATTAAAATATCATTATCTTAAACAAAGAGATGACTGAAAAGTAATTTGAATTGGTGTCAGCTTTAATACTGAAAACTGAAAATTTAATTTAGATTATCGCATAAAAATAAACGTTCATGGTGTATAAAGGTTTAGACTCTTTCTGGCCTTTTATTATTTAGAAATGAGTAATATGTTTTGTTATTTTTTATGCACTTGTCTCAAGTAAAAGTTGACTGCATTTTTGTTTTAAATACATAAATATATATAAATAATAAAAATACACATTTAATACTTCATTTGTTAGTTCGAAGCTCATCTTAATATACTAATTTTCCGTCACAGTTACTACAGACTATACATTTGCCACTACCATGACTTCAGTTACTACAGACTATACATTTGCCACTACCATGGCTTCAGTTACTACAGACTATATTTACCGTTACGGTAACACAGGTTAAACTTGACGGTCTAATTACTGCAAGCAAAATTGACCGATATAATAACTGTAACTTCAGACTATATTTACCATTATACTAACGTCAGACTATATTTACGTTACAGTTACTGCAGACTATATTTACTGTTACAGTAACTGCAGACTTTATTTACCGTCACAGTAACTGCAGACTATATTTACCGTTACAGTAATGTCAGACTTTATTTACCGTTACAGTAACTGCAAACTATATTATAGGATTAAACGCCTTTTTAAAGGAATTTATTGGTGTATAAACTCGACCAATTCACTCACAAACAAATAAAAGTCCGAAGAACTTTTATGATATGTTTGTGAGTGACTTGGTCCAGTTTATACACCAATAAATTCCTTTAAAAAGGCGTTTGATCCTTATAATTCTTTAAAATTGGAGATAAAGAATTGATTTTTCCACATTCGTAGCCTCTGTCACACGTATATTGTATATTTGTGTTATTGAATTGGCCTGGTGCATGAATATGTGTGTTGGTTAACGCAAAAATATGTACTCCGTGAAATTTGCTATCTTATAAAAAATATAAACTACAAAAATAGCCTGTTATCATTCAAATGAATGTTTTTGTGTTTATTATTTAATTTAACGATTAGCGCGAAGTGAACATAAATATTTTTAACGTCGAGCCGGATTGTGTAATTATCGCCGCCATCTTGTTTACATTGGTTACAAAAAGTAGTTCGGTCAACGTCGTCTATCGAAAAATAAACAACGTCAAGATCCACTACCGGAAGCCCTCTCGACCAATCATATTTACGTATCCCCTAATATGCAAACCATATAAGAATTATTTACTGTTACAGTAACGTCAGACTATATTTACCGTAACAATTACTGCAGACTATATTTACCGTTACAGTAACTTCAGACTATATTTACCGTAACAGTTACTGCAGACTATATTTACCGTTATTATATACTTAGTGGTAAATACAGGTATATTGTATGTGTAATACAATCAATGCCAATCGTGCTGTATCAACCATCCGTGATGATATCGATATCAGTCAGGTTACAAAAGCTTTATCAAACCCCTAATCTGTATGACGTCACGTCATCAATATCAGTCACGGTTGTAAAGGCTTTATCAAACCCGTAATATGTATTGCTTGAGAAAAAAAAACATGTACTAGAGGTATATAATAAAATGTATATGATATGGTTTTTTCAATATCACACCCCGTATCAACCCTCAACCAATATAATTCCTCGATCAGAGCTCTTGGGATTATATTGATGTCTCGGGTTGATACGGGTGTGATATTGAAAAAGCCATATGATATTCTCTATTTACAGTAACTTTGGACTATATTTACCATTACAGTAACTTCAGACTATGTTCGCGTTACAGTAACTGAAAACTTATTATATACCGTTACAGTAACTGCAGACTTATATACCGTTACAGTAACTGCAGGCTTATATACCGTTACAGTAACTGCAGGCTTATATTCTGTTACAGTAACTGCAGGCTTATATACCGTTACAGTAACTGCAGACTTATATACCGTTATAGTAACTGCAGACTATATGTTATGCCGTTACACTAACTGTAGAATATATTTACCTTTACATAAAATGCAGACTACAATTATGTTGCAGTAAATGCAGACTATATTTTCCGTTATAGCAACTGCAGACTTTGTTTATGTTACATTAACTGCAGACTTTAGGTGGTATGAGAGTATAAACGAAAAATGATAGAATTTTTTCATACTTTGCTAAAATGTAGTATTTATAGTGATATGTTCAAAAAGATAATAAAAATGATAGGTCACCGAGTTTTTTTCAAGCTACAGGTTATGAAAAAAATGACGCATTTTGTATGGATTATAAATCCTTATGTGCATGAAAAGTAAACTAAAGGACAGAACTGTGAAATAAAATACGAGAAGATATCTCTTAGAAAATACTTTCAGAATATCAAAAAAATTGGGTCACTATACTTTTTTTCCCTGCTATAACATAAAAAAGAAAATTTCTAAAGGAATATTCATAAAAATTTTCTTTTTTATGTTATAGCAGGGAAAAAAAGTATGATGACCCCTTTATTCTCGTATTTTATTATTGACTAAAACATCTTATAGCAAAACGAAAGACCGTTGTTCAATCATTAATTTCAAATTTTTTATCAGTACACTATATAGGAAACAATGTGTGATAACAGTAAATATACAACCTTAAGTTAGATGTCACAAAGTGGATCTACATGATCAAACTAATATATACCGTGATTAGAAAGAATGATGTATGTGTAATAGTTTAATGATGATGATGATGAGAACCGAACATATTTGACAGTCTTGTAAGTAATAACAATATCTTTCAGTTATATCTATAACACCCATATATGTTGTGTTTACATGTGTGTAAAACAAGAAAGCTAAAGAAAGTAAAGAAATTTCATTTAGTTGATTAACAAGTTCAGTTGTTAAATATTAAAGAAGACTTATGAATATCATCAATGATTTTAAATATAAGTATCAAATTGTTTTTGTAATTATAAATTGATATTGATATCGACAACATTTTTCTCATGATAAATCAAAAAACGGAATTATTTGACTACAAAACGGTAATAATAATAATAATAATAATAATAATAATAATATAATAATATGAAATTGTTATAGTTTTAGAGCATATAAAAGAAAATATGAGCAAGACAGAGAACTCAGAGGAAAAACCATTACTTAACAGCAACAAAATCGAATTCGTTAAGCTTAAATATCCAAGATGGCTGACATATTCCGTGGTAATAGCAATTCCATTATCCCATATACTGTCCTTCATGTTGAGCCTGTTTCTTTTAAACCAGTATACTTATTATAAATTCATGAAACAAGAATATCCAAATGCTTCTGATACATCCGAGAAGTTACCAACATGCACTACTAATACAAGCACTGTTGAATATCAACAACAAGTAGACGTACAGAAAATATCGGCGGAATGGAGCATGATTTGCAGTCTTTCCTATATTATTCCAGGAATGTTTTCCAATATCAATCTCGCCACATATAGTGACGTTTACGGTAGAAAACTATTTTTCATTATACCGTTGGCAGGCGGTGTGCTAAAAAGTGTACTTTGTGCAGTTGGGATTTATTATGAAATTGATGTGAGATATCTTTTGTTATTTTACATGATAGAGGTTTGTACTGGATCCTGGTTTGGAACACTTTCTATGTCCTTGTGTTTTATTGCTGACACAACAGAAGAAGGAAAAGAAAGATCGATCCTAATCGGTTTGTTAGAAGGTGGTCTTGGGATTGGCGCTTTCATTGGAACATTCATATCCGGATATCTGATATCATTAACCGACGGATTTTTCTATCCAGATGTAATTGCCTCGTGCGTTGTAAGCATTGGACTACTTCTTGCGTTAACAATGATTCAAGAAACTCTTCCCGAATCAAGAAAACGTAAACATGTTTCACCTTTAGATAACATGAAGAGGGTTTTAGAATGTTATTCCTCAGACTTCTCGCCAAAAGGAAAACGCTGGATGTTCATTTTATTGATATTTATCTTTTCAATGTCAGCCATTTCAAATTTAAGCAGACACAACGTAGAAACGTTATACGAGCTAAATGCCCCATTCTGTTGGGACTCGGTGAAAATTGGAGTATACTCGTCTATACGGATATGTTTCTTTTATTTAGGAGCAGTGGTTATAATAAAATTATTCCATTTTTGTTCATCAGATGAGGTGATAGCTTTAGCTGGTTGCTTCACCACATTAGCATCATTGATTCTGGAAGGCCTGGCACAGTCAGACCTTATGATGTACTTGTGTAAGTACTTGTTATGTAATTATTATCAGAACTAGTTTCATTATAATGACTATTTCATTAAAATTCCCGTTGATATTGCGGTGATATAATTTTCCACATCGCTATTTTCTTAGTTTTTGCTCTGATTGTTTTGTGTGTCATAATTTTCCATCTCAAGATACTGTACTGAGAATTGGTTTTCTCAGTCGAGTAAATAAAGAACTCAGATTGGCGTTGCCTAGGAAAGAAAAGTAAAAAAACCCAGATTATCTACGGTCTTATAACTTCAGGAAGTTTCTCGGCTTCTTTAATTTATATATATATCTACAAAAACATTTTTCTGTCATTAAAGATAATCGTCATTTGTTTCTAGGCTGCCGTTTCCAGATACAGTTTGTTTTGCAATTGACGTATATATTATTTCTAAGCTAGGTTTAATTCATATCATAACAAATCAAAGCAATGTATTTATTTACGTCGATGCTGATAGATTGGAAATGTTTCCATCGCCAATTGTTTAAAAAACTGTTGAGGCAAGTTAAAAGCATTGTATCGTAAACATGTTAGTTAAAGTCATATGAAACTTCAAATTTAAAAAAAAAGTTGAATATTTTTATATTCTTGAATGGCTAAGTTTTACTATTAAACAAGTGTACGTGAACTTTCTTGTATAACAAAATCCCTTATATTACCAAAATCTTCATTAATGTACTGCTATTGAATTATTGTCTTCCCGTACCCTAATTCGCCGACATTTTCCAGTATGCGTTGAGTATGCGTTGATCTTAACTATGAGACCTCTCGTTTAAACTTCGGCCACCGCACGGCGCAAGTGCGAGGGGAAACCCGTGATGAAAGACCACTGGGACCACTGGAACACTGTTGAAGGTAAATAGTAATAACCAAACACATAGGAACGCATGGTAAAATAAAAAAAATATCATGACCTTATCAATGCACTTATTTGTCACGTGCGGCACGTGCTCTGTGTTGATTGTTTATCAATGTCACGATCCGGTAAACTTCGGCAACAAACTCGAAAGTTAATTAGATTGCGATCTCTAAATGAAATATTATTTGTCGATAATACGTTATAGATTCGTAATAAATATTAAAAAAAAACGTGCACAAAGGACTTAGTTTAGTATATATGCGTGCATTGGTTCAATAATTTCGATAACATTAAAATAACAAGAAACCCGTTTCATATGACTTTAAGATTGTTTATAACCAAGCCAATTTCTATAAATTGTTGTGTCTAGTACAGGTACTTTCTGTAAATGTGTTAGTTGTAATAAGTTGTACTTATACCATGGCAATGTTTCCATTTAAGCTGCTGCCGCCAGTCTAGGTTGTATTGTAACCATGCCAATGTCCAGGAGCATAATGTCTCGAATGACACCAGCTAATAAACAAGGTCAGAAGATTTATTCTTTTTAATGCCATTATTAAGTTTGTACAATTATTTATTTATATTTAAAAACAACATTATTACCCGAGTAATAGCAAAATAAAGAAAGCCATAAAACTGACAAACAAAAACAATTGATACGGTTAAAATTTTATGTGAAATATTTCTTTCTATTGCAAATGGAAATCTTTTTATAACTAGCCATTATATCTGTCTCATGATTGGTCATATCATTTTCTGTTTGTTAGCGGATATTTCTATTAACACTTGTTTTAAGTATGATGATTTCACCAACAAAGGTGTACTAACTCATAAACTAATTCAGGAACACTACGACTCAAATAATCCCTAAACAAATTTTACAGTCACTGTCACAATTTGGTTGCTCGTTTCATTGTCCCTTTTTTACAGTCACTGTCACAATGTGGTTGCTCGTTTCATTGTCACTTTTTTACAGTCACTGTCACAATTTGGTTGCTCGTTTCATTGTCCCTTTTTTACAGTCACTGTCACAATTTGGTTGCTCGTTTCATTGTCCCTTTTTTACAGTCACTGTCACAATTTGGTTGCTCGTTTCATTGTCCCTTTTTTACAGTCACTGTCACAATTTGGTTGCTCGTTTCATTGTTCCTTTTTTACAGTCACTGTCACAATTTGGTTGCTCGTTTCATTGTCCCTTTTTTACAGTCACTGTCACAATTCGGTTGCTTGTTTCATTGTCCATTTTTTACAGTCACTGTCACAATTTGGTTGCTCGTTTCATTGTCACTTTTTTACAGTCACTGTCACAATTTGGTTGCTCGTTTCATTGTCCCTTTTTTACAGTCACTGTCACAAATTGGTTGCTCGTTTCATTGTCCCTTTTTTCCAACTTGCTATTACTTGTTTTACTTCTCTGATGAATCCCATATGTTCACTATGTCCCATTTGTTACAAATACTGGTTTGTCATGTTCCTATCTTTGACCGTTACTGCTGTATGTGACTTTAGATGATTGTTGCATACGTTGTAGGCGATACTTGTTTGGAGTTCATGCGACCCAAGATTACGTCAAGTTTAAAATTTGATTATACATTAGAACATACAAATAAATATTTATATTTCTGCTGATAGGTTCTGTTTTTGCTGGTGTTGCTGCAGTAGAGCTTCTATGTGCTCTGGTCGGGGGACTAATAATGAATGGTATCTATAAAGCGACTGTGGATGTCTACAGAGGAATGGTGTTTTTAATATGGGCGGCTTTCAGTGTCGTAGGGATAATACTTTGTTTGTAAGTAATATGTTTTAAAAAATTATGTTTCTACATGTATCAATAAATTAAAACCCAACTAATTATTATTGCTATACACCTCATGATCATTCACGGTCCTACATTCTGTTCATACCTATATTTTGGCATTGCACAATATCATGTATTTCTCGGACTGTTAATGACGTTTTTACACTAAATCTATTGGATGCTAGCTGTGTACTGGATTGATACTTTAGTTGAATATACAATAAGACAGGTGTATATCTTTTTAAAAAAGTCCTACATAATGACTCTTTTATGTGCAAGACACTCTTATACTTAATGACAAAATCACTATATCTACTATATACTAACATTCGAATGATAAATATTGAAACAACAAGCAACGTATCAAACATTTCTTTTGCAGATGAACGCATCACATTTATTAGATAGCGTCAACTGGGCTCATGCCAAAAAAAAAAAAGAAAACCCCGATGTAACTGCAAATAAAAATGCACACAAGAGTTCAACTGAATTGGATTTTTTTTTACAAAGTAACAGTAAAACGAAACTATTTAGGTTTTAAAAAATAAAAAAAGAACTGAAAAGCCAGAAATTTATAAACTTCATTGACAGATTTTGAACATATTAAAAAAAACATCGATTTCAAAAATATTTTTGTTTACTTGTACAGAATTCTGATAACAGGAAAGCGGAGAAGAAAACTTGAATTAAAGCAGGAAGAAACAACTATAAAAGTAGAATTCACAGCCAGTGAAAAGAAGTAGAAATACATGTACATGCTGACATACATGGGGAAAAGAGAAAGTGGAGAAATACATACTGTCTTACATGGTGAAAAGAGAAAGCGGATAGATTTATGTTACTTTTTTGAATACAATACAAGATGTTCAATCTATTTTTAAAATGTCCTTGTTACTTATTTCTAAGTAATTTTGTCAGTAATTCAATTTATAATAAAAATTCATCACTAACATATTTAAAAGTAATACACCAAGTATCGTATTAAGTCCAGATACAGAGGGACAAAATATGCCACTGAACATACTGGGAGTTGTATGAATTCCAAACAATAGTGAGATTGGGTGAATCCACAGGGTAATGTAACTATAAATATACCACAGGATGAGGTAACTATACATACAACACAGGGTGGGGTAACTGTACGTATATCACTGGATGAGGTAACTATACATACAAAATAGGGTAGGGTAACTATACATATATCGCAGGGTGAGGTAGCTATACATACAACACAGGGTGAGATAACTATACGTTAATCACAGGATGAGATAACTATACATACAACACAGGGTAGGGTAACTATACATATATCACAGGATGAGGTAACTATACCTACAACACAGGGTGGGGTAACTGTACGTATATCACAGGATGAGATAACCATACATACAACACAGGGTAGGGTAACTATATTTATATCACAGGGTGAGGTAACTATACATACAACACATAGTGGGGTAACTATACGTATATCGCAGGGTGAGGTAACTATACGTATATTATAGGGTGAGGTAACGATATATACAACACAGGGTGGGGTATCTATACATACAACATAGGGTAGGGTAACTATACATACAACACAGGGTGGGGTAACTGTACGTTTATCACAGGGTAATGTAACTATAGATACAACACAGGGTGGAGTAACTTTACGTATATTACAGCGTGAGGTAACGATATATACAACACAGGGTACTGTAACTATATATACAAGATAGGGTAGGGTAATTATACATGCAACACAGGGTGGGGTAACTGTACATACAACAGAGGATGAGGTAACTATACATACAACACGGGGTCGGGAAACTGTACGTATATAACAGGGTGAGGTTACTATACATACAACATAGGGTGTGGGCAACTATACATACAACACAGGGTAGGGTAACTTTACATATATCACAGGGTGAGGTAACTATACATACAACATAGGGTAGGGTAACTATACATATATCACAGGATGAGATAACTATACATACAACACAGGATAGGGTAACTATACATATATCACAGGGTGAGATAACGATACATACAACACAGGGTAGGGTAACTGTACGTATATCACAGGATGAGGTAACTATACATACAAAATAGGGTAGGGTAACTATACATATGTCACGGGGTGAGGTAACTGTACATATACCACAGGGTGGGGTAACTATACGTATATTACAGGGTGAGGTAGCGATACATATATCACAGTGTGAGGTCACTATACATACAACACAGAGTGGGGTAACTATATATATATATATCACAGGATGAGGTAACTATACATACAACACAGGGTGAGGTAACTATGCATAAAACACATAGTGGGGTAACTGTACGTATATCACAGGATGGGGTAACTATACATACAACACAGGTTGGGGTAACTATACGTACATCACAGGGTGGGGTATCTATACATAAAACACAGGATGGGGTAACTATACGTACATCACAGGGTGAGGTAACTATACAAACAACACAGGGTGGGGTAACTATATATACAACATAGGGTAGGGTAACTATCCATATATCACAGGTTAAGATAACGATACATACAACACAGGATAGGGTAACTGTACGTATATCACAGGGTGAGGTAACTATAGATACCAGACAGGGTGGGGTAACTATACATTTATCACAGGGTGAGATAACGATACATACAACACAGGGTAGGGTAACTCTACGTATATCACAGGATGAGGTAACTATACATACAAAACAGGGTAGGGTTACTATACATATATCACAGGGTGAGGTAACTATCATACAACACAGGGTGAGATAACTATACATACAACACAGGATGAGGTAATTATACATACATCACAGGATGAGGTAACTATACATACAACACAGGGTGGGGTAACTGTACGTATATCACAGGGTGAGGTTACTATAGATACAACACAGGATGGGGTAACTATACGTATATTACAGGGTGAGGTAACGATATATACAACACAGGGTAGGGTAACTATACATACAACATAGGGTAGAATAATTATACATACAACACAGGATGAGGTAACTATACATACAACACAGGGTGGGGTAACTGTACGTATATCACAGGGTGAGGTAACTATAGATACAACATATGGTGGGGTAACTATACGTAAATCACAGGATGAGGTAACTATACATACATGACAGGGTGAGGTAGCTATATAAATACAACACAGAGTTAGGTAACTTTACATACTACACATAGTGGGGTAACTGTACGTATATCACAGGGTGAGGTAACTATACATGCAACATAGGGTAAGATAACTAAACATACAACACAGGATGAGGTATCTATACATATATCATAGGACATGTAACTATACATACAACACAGGGTGGGGTAACTATACGGAGTTTGTCTCTCGTGCTGTGTGGAGGCCGTAGAAAGTTTCCCCGTGCTTGAGGTGTATGCTTTGTTTTTTGTTGTCTCTTTGACACATTCCTTGTTTCCATTCTCAATTTTTTTTTTTATATTTTTAAGTTATGGCTTACTAATATTTGAGATAAATCCTCTTATGTGTACTACATCATTATCACACTTTTAGGCCAGTTTGTGTACTAAAATTTTTATAAGACGCACGCCACCTATTCTTGGCCCCCATTGCTCGTGTGTGGAGGGGGGGGGGGGGGTGTCAATATACCGTTATCTATATAACAGAGCGCACTGGTTACCGGAAATGAAGATATACAAAAACAGGTACTTCATATATAAACAAGCCCTCCTTTTTAGATTTCATTCATATAATTTTATTATTAAAAATTAACAGTCAAAAGGTGTTCTACAAGGATCACCAGTCCTTCACCTTTTATTTGATACCTAGATTACCAATATATATTCTACATAGTTTGATATTTATACCTATGCGTAGCTATTTTTTTGTTTTAAATATATACTTCTTCCGTGATTCATCTTACAAAGTCTTCCCGAATATCATGTGCCCTATACATACGTTATTTCCTACCAAGTTATATATTATATATTTCGATGGCCCTGTGTTTGTCTAAATATTTGTATTGTTTTTGCACGCTTCAGTGTGCTGGCCGGGCTTAATTATGACAGTAAATGCTTGATTTCATTGCAAAATTTGTTTTATTGATATTAATTCGTGGCCTTGTTCATCAATTCTCAGTTTTGGCTTGATCGTCAGTTTGCAAAGAATTGCAAACCGGTACTAGTTTCCGTCTTAAACTTACAGTGAGGTGAGATTTTTTGCCCCGTGTTCAAGGCCTCACTGTGACTTTGAGATGAAGAACAGCAATAAAAGCGTTTTTCCATTTATTTTTGTGTATTTTGCTGTTCATGTACTGTTTTTAGTGATGGATGGACACCCCATATCCTTTCTTTTCTATTATATATTACAGAACAAGGTAACCATACATATATTGACTCGCTGGCAAAGTTTGTTAAGGCGGCACTTGTGCTTACTAACTTATAAATACGGTAAAGTTCCTCTCGACTTCACTGCTCTGATTGAAATGCATTTACATTTAAAAAACAAGAAAATTCCAACAACAATGTCAGACCAGTGTCAGATACAGATCATTGTGTTGTCTGGTTATGGATCTGTTATCTGTGTTTCCTTATACTGTTGTTCCCAATGATTAAGCTGTATTTATTCATCTAGTCTCCATCAACAAACACACAATTTAAAAGAAAGAGACGGAAAATAACAAACCAACAACAGAGTTAGGAAACACAGTCAACATATTCATAACCAAACAACTCAATGACAACAAACACACAATTAAAAGAGGGTGGAGGAAAAATACCCAAACCAACAATATTGTATGGAAACACAGACAACAAATCCATAGCCAAACAACTCAATGACAACAAACACACAATCAAAAGAGGGTGGACGAAAAATATCCAAACCAACAACATTTTAAGGAAACACAGACAACAAATCCATAGCCAAACCAACTCAATGACAACAAACACACAATTAAAAGAGGGTGGAGGAAAAATACCCAAACCAACAACATTGTATGGAAACACAGACAACAAGTTCATAGCCAAACAACTCAATGACAACAAACACACAATTAAAAGAGGGTGGACGAAAAATATCCAAACCAACAACATTTTAAGGAAACACAGACATCAAATCCATAGCCAAACAACTCAATGACAATAAACACACAATTAAATGTTTTTCATGCATGATCAGCACGTAAAACAGTACACCCATAAAAAGACAACCCAATGACAACAAACACACAATCGAAAGAAGAATGGACCAACATTAAACTGTTAAGTAATGCATTACATCGCATACAAGTTAAAGAGTGGCGCAATAAAACCTACTTTAACATGGAAGTATCTTTTAAACTACTTGAAAATATTAAGAATTCAAATCTTCTATCGTCTGATATGATACATGTCTTATGTGTTTTCCCAATGAACTTGGTATCTGGTAGATACAAAAAATTTAATGTCATAATTTAGAAAATTAACACTTAGTTACAAAATACAAATTATCCTTTACATCATTCTGGCAGGGAAATTGCAGTATTTTCATTTAGGTGGAATAAGAAGTTGTCACAACCTCTTTGTTTTAGTTGCTATCATATGTACAATAATTTATAAAATTATTGCTAAATTGTATCGCAAAAATATTAGAAAAAAAGAAACGAAAAGAAACAACATCAAAAACCAAACGCCACAACCCAAAGCAATTTGAAATTTGATAAAAAAAAAAAACCACGAATTTGATGACGTCTGTATATAGCTAACATAAGTATCAGCTCAACTGCATATTTATTGTGCACATCTATCTCCGTAAGTAAATTAATTATCATTTACACATATAAAATGAGATAGCTTTGTGTAACGATACAAGATACTAGGTCACATGTAACGATATCAAATCACATGACCATGATGAATCTCCAAGACGACAGATTTAAACCACAACAGTAAGTTTAAGTTAAAGTTAAGAAAGAATTTTTCTTTTATATTTCCACATGTTAAGGTTCTTATGATTAGACGGAATACATCTTAAGAGACTTTAGAGCGGATACACCTGTATTGAAATACATATTTGATCATAGTTCGATACAATGTCTCTGTTTTGCAAAATGTGTATAAATTTGGTACTCGGTGCAATTTTGGTACTGGCAAGTTATCTATAATTTGTCCGTATTTCGAGTAGCTTTAAACAAAATGTGCATCGGTCAACGCTTAAACACTTCATTTAAATTACAGAAAAAAGCATTCAATTCTCAAATATTACTTTTTTATTTTGGGGAATTTTGGCAATTCTGACAAATTTGTTTTTTTTATAATTTTGGCAATTTTTTTGGTAGTTTTTTTTAGCCAAATTTTAACCCGTGTGTAAGTATATTATCTAGGGTGGGTGTTATTTACACCCTGTTGATTAACCAATCAGATTACAACATTCTTGATTCACAAGAAATAAATACTTATACACCTTAATATAATACACAGGTATAAAGGCATAATTTTACAAAAGTTGTTCAAAGGAGCTCATTCGATCAAATCAAGCTAACTACAAGTATTTCTACTGTATATTAGTTTCTGAAAATGTACCAAGTTTATTGTAGATGGAATAAACTATGTAAACATACTCTTTTTTGTGCTAAAATCTGATTAAAAAATACTAAATAAACGTTACACAGTACATAACCCGTTGGTTTTCTCGTTTGAATCGTTTTATTGTTTTACATTATTCCATGTTTAGGCCTTTTATAGCTTGTTATTCGGTATGGGTTTGGCCATTGTTAAAGGCCGTATAGTGACCGATAGTTGCTAATATCTACGTCATTTGGTCTCTGGTGGATAATTGGCATAATTGTTTCATTGTCGATCAGACAACACCTCCTTAATTTTTTAATACGTTTTTATTTTTACACATTTCACCCCTATAAATATGGCAATAGAAAAGCAAAGACAATCAATAGTCCAAATACAGTTAAAAGGAGAAAAAAATCAATTGTAAAAAAAGCAAAAAAGCAATAAAAAGCAAAATATAAAAAACCAATTGATTACTGTTGACTGTTCAGTCTTTCAGTTAACACCAAAAATGTATTCATAAATAAAAATTGTTTAATAGTTTGCGAATTCATTTTTTTAATCCAAGGAGTATGTGACAGTGCTGTTAGACAAATTGAAGAATTTATGTCATCAATCTTTTGTAATGAAAGGTAGTGTAGATGTTATTGAAAATAGGCCACTTTTGCAAGACCAGAGCTGTAAACAAAAGTACAATGATCAGCTGGAGAAAACTAGATTTCCAAGATGGCTGACGTTGTGCCTTGGAATATGTGTTGTCTTCCTACATTTTGTTTCCTATCTTCTGAATTTATATGTGATGAATCAGTATTCATATAAGGCATATTATGAAAAAAAATATCCAAACTCTTCACTCAAGTCATCAGGAAATACATCCGCGTGTGAACAAAACACCAATACCACAGAATATAAGCAACAAATTGTTATACAGAAACTAACTTCCGAATGGGGTATTTATTGTACACTTGCCAGTAACATTCCTGGTATTATCTTTACGATCAATATTGGATCATTAAGTGATACTTACGGAAGAAAACTATTTTTTGTGGCACCTCTTATTGGGACCATTCTTAAAAACGGTCTTTGTTGTATAGGGATTTACTACAGTTTGAATATAGAGTTTTTTATTATATTTTACGGTATAGAAGGGTGTACCGGAAACTGGATATCCACCATGTTAATGGTATATTGTTATATTGCCGACCTAACAGAGCCTGGTAAACCAAGGTCGCTTCTTTATGGTATTCTAGAAGGAATTATTGGCATAGCAGCATTTCTTTCATCGACATTTTCAGGCTATCTTATTAAATGGACAGATGGATTCTTTTACCCGGAAGTAACATCAGTTGGTTTTGTTTCACTTGGGCTTGTCATCGTTGTTCTTGTACTTCCTGAGTCACTTCCGGAGTCAAAAAGGAGAGATAAGGTTTCCTGTTTGGAGAACATGGGAAGAGTAACAGAGTGTTACAGACCAAATTTCTCCCCTCACGGAAAACAGTGGATGTTCATAAATCTATTATTCATTTTTATTTTGGCTGGGTTTGCGAATTTAGGGCGAGTTCAAGTAGAAACGCTGTTTCAACTGAATTCTCCTTTCTGTTGGGATTCAGTCAGAATCGGTTGGTATGGCGCTTTAAAGATAGGAACGTTATCTATCGGGGGAATGATAATGATCAAGACTTTCCATTTTTGTGTGACCGATGAATATATCGCACTAGCTGGTTTTGCCACTTCAGTGATATCTGCCATTGTGTTCGGACTTTCAACTACAGATACCATGATTTACATAGGTATGTTTCAATAAACTACATGAGGATCTAGATCGGGGATCCATAATTTCTGTATTCTTTAAATGTTTAGAACATTTTTCTTTATCATTAAAAATTAAGCTTTTTCTGCAAAATTTTCATGAAAATGATTTTACTACTAAAATTTTCTGTAATATGATGATTTCTTTATTTTGTACATAGTTAATTTCTGTAATCAATATTGTATTGCCTAATTCTTTTTTCCACAGTTATTCTTTATACATTTGAACCGCATTATTCTCTATGCTTTTAATTTTGCTTAAGTTTCTCTATTCATTATATTTTTACCATTATTTTCTATCTATCCAAACCCTCCTACATATACCATGCTTTACTTAGGTATGCTTCTATACACGTTTTACAGGACCGAAAAGGTTTTTTTTAATGTTTGAATATAAAGTAAAGTTTTTTTTTAGCTTTAAACGGATATTGACAAATTCCCTTTAATTTCTCGTATTTTGTCTATTGCCTTTCAGATCTTGAATTGTTTTTTTCATTATCATCATTTCATGGAACAAATAAATATATAAAGCTTGAGAAAACATGTTTGTTTATTTTCAGCTGCAGTACTAAACTTTGGAAATACAGTGACTATGCCCATTGTTAGATCAATAATGTCACGTATGACTCCAGCTCATAAGATAGGTGATTAAATATAATTAACCATACCAATTATTAGATCAATAATGTCGTGTATGACTCCAGCTCATAAAATAGGTGAGTAAATATAGTTTACCATACCAATTATTTGATCAATAATTTAGCACATACTTACAACTTCTTGTCCAATCAAATTGCTTATATTTGCCTTCTAATTTTCATAGTACATACTTTTCCTGTGTACTAAGTAACTACGCATGAATGACCACAAGGGTAAGATTTCATTGTATCGTAAACAAGATATTTAAAACAAAAATTGCCACTGGCTATTTTGAAATAAAATGCTGTGTACCAAATTAAATTAAATAGTTTGTAATTAGTTTTCACATTGATTTTTAAATATCCTGCTATTAAAATCTTTGGATCTAAAAAATGTTTTTGACAATTGCAAATTTTATCATTTAAATAAAGGGTAATACATATGGTTCTTTATACCTTGATTAGAGTACAACGATATCTTAAAATTATGATAATGTATCATCCATGCAATTACTTTGTACACAGAAAAGTGTGTACTATGAAACCTTGTGAAGGAAAACTAAAGCAACTTGGTGATAATTTTTTAAACTTTCTTAAGGAAGGTGATTTATTTCGTCATGAATTGATTGATTTATTGATTATTGGTTGCTTAATGTCCAGTGGCAAATATTTCATGCATGTTCAGGACGATGTCATGAATTGAAAACCTGTGATTATGTCTGAAGATAATGTGCCACCTATATATATATATATATAAACATATTCTGATAAATCTTTTAGTTTTTACTTTGAACTAATAAAAAAAAAAACACAAAACCTATAATCTTTGATCTATTTGTAGTTGCTTTTTAATGCCTATCTGCTAGACTATATCTTTGGGGACAAACTATCTATATGTTTCAAATTTATTATAGCTTTAGTTTTACTGTGAAATTAAAAAATGTTTTCAAAACATGTAAAGCTTCCACTGCAATTTAATTATTGCCTGCTTTTGGTCAATTTATTTTGTCATCTTACCTTGTAAGAAGAACATGTGTAGTAAAACACCGCTTTATATCAGTATACATACTTACACCAGCAGCTACCATCTTTTCATTCTGGAGTGAAGGGCCTTTTGAAATCACATATTTTACAATGATACTAGTGAGTAGATTTACAAAATTCGTTAATGAGCTCCGTTTTACAAACACCTGTGATACAAGTAGTCAGCCAAAATAAACTATCAATAGACCAATTAAAAGATTACTCGAGTTGTAAATATGTGCTAAATTGGATAGTCTATGGAAAGGTATATACTATGAAATTAAGAGCTCGGGGCAAGCCCCTCGCTCTAAATTTCATAGTATATACCTTTCCATAGACTAACCTAGACGTGGCGTATGACTCCAGTTCTTTAAAAAGGTGAGTAAATAAAGTAAACCATACCAGTTATTAGATCAATAATGTCGCGTATGACTCCAACTCATAAAACAGGTGAGTAAATATAGTTAACCATACCAATTATTAGATCATAATGTCGCGTGTGACTCCAACTCATAAAATAGGTGAGTAAATACAGTTAACCATACCAATTATTAGATAATAATGTCACGTTTGACTCCAGCTCATACAATAGGTGAGTAAATATAGTTGACCATACCAATGCAAAAACTTATTTTATTTGATCTGTTTCTTGTTTTCTACGAATAATTGAATGAAAACAAAAGCGGACAGTAGTGTAAAAAAAAGAAGAAATAGACTTAATGTTCACTTCTAAACAAAATCGAAGAAGTTTGGTCTTATTGTACTTTCCTATTTGAACTTTAAAATTACTGACATATATCTGCACTTTCGAAAACTAAAGTGACAATGACACAGGAAGACTCATAAATGTATTATAATAACACAAGCTTTCTTTACATATATGTTGTTAAGTATGTGATATAGCTGTATTCTTGCTGATTTTTCGAAACTTGATAAAATGCATTTTGAAGCCAAAATATTCGTAGCAAGCTGAAATATGAATTCTTGATTATAAATGGACCATGAATCTTGATTAGAAAAGATTTATGCGGCGCGAACAACACAATCTATCACTGTTTTGCAACAATGTTGACAGACGTGTTGATCCTGAGTATTCTCGAGACATTTTGCCACAGAAGGTCTGCAACGACAATGCTTACAACTTTACCGATCCACACTCCAGATTTAATCCGTACTAGAACTATTTTATCTCACCTTCAGTCCAACATTACAATTATCTTTCCTCTGCTAAATGAATATATCCCAATTACAGTGTTTTCATTTTAAACAGGCACTAAAAGAGAGGCGAAAGATACCAAAGGGACATTCAAACTCATTAGTCGAAAATAAACTGACAACGCCATGGCAAAAAAAGAAAAAGACCAAAAGACAAACAACAATAATTATATACAAAACACAAGAAAGAAAACTAAAGACTGAGCAACATGAACCCCGCTAAAAACCAGGGGTGATATCAGGTGCTCAGGAAGGATAAGCAGATCCTGTTCTACACGTGGCGTTCCGCGTATTGCTTATGTAAGTACAAACTCGGGGATAAGTCTAATGCGGTAGGTCACATTCGCAGAAAAGGAGGACGGGATTGTGGTTACGACGATTGGAACATATCCGTCGTCATCTGTGAAACAGATATTCCATAACGGTTAACCGACTTGTGACGGCGATTGTAAAATTTTCGAAGGGATGATTTCAACTTCACCACTTGGAACTCTTGGTTTACCAAGAATTTATTTTACTTTTAGATGATATTTCTATTGTATATTTGTATATTATCTAATGTATTTGTGGTCTATTTTAGGTTCAGTTTTTGCTGGAATTGCCGCCATTGAGTTTATATGTAACATGGCAAGCTCTCTTTTGGCTAATGCTGTGTATGATGCCACTGTGGAAATCTATAGAGGATTTACATTCTTTGTGATGGCTGGTTATGCTGTTGTTGGTATTGTTTTGTGTTGGTAAGTATTGATCTGTTATGGCTGGGGATACTTTGTTTTTGGTAATTTTTTTTTATTTTGGTTCCTATTGATTTTTGGTGGCTTGGTATGCAGTTGTTGGTATTATTTTATGTTGGCTGGATATGCTGTTGTTGGTATTGTTTTATGTTGGCTGGATATGCTGTTATTGGTATTGTTTTATGTTGGCTGGATATGCTGTTATTGGTATTGTTTTATGTTGACTGGATATGCTGTTGTTGGTATTGTTTTATGTTGGCAAGATATGCTGTTATTGTTATTGTTTTATGTTGGCTGGATATGCTGTTGTTGGTATTGTTTTATGTTGGCAAGATATGCTGTTATTGTTATTGTTTTATGTTGGCTGGATATGATGTTGTTGGTATTGTTTTATGTTGGCTGGATATGCTGTTATTGGTATTGTTTTTTTGACTGGATATGCTGTTCGTGGTAGTGTTTTATGTTGGCTGGATATGCTGTTGTTGGTATTGTTTTGTGTTGGTTAGTATTGATTTGGAGTTATTGAGTATGCTGTTCTTAGAACAATGTGTTTGTGGAATCGTTTTTTAAAGGTAGGTATTGTACTGTCATGTGTATGTATGCTGTTCGTGGAATTGTTTCGTAAAGGAAGATATTGCTATGTCATGCGTCTGTATGCTGTTCGTGGAATTGTTTTTAAAGTCAGATATTGTATTGTTATGAATGGGTATGCTGTTTTAAGATTTGGGTTGTACATGTATAGGTTTTAAAGGTAGATGTTGCATCGTCATGGTTCAGCATGCATTTTTGTATAGTCAGTTATGACATTGTCATGGTTGTAAATGTTAATGTAAAACATTAGTGAGTAAGAGGTTAAATTAGTTTTTGATGTGTAAAATTCGTTAATCAATTCTTACTAAGCAAACGAGAGAAAACCCTGAGGTATTCGAACGATAACCAACAGAGCGAGTTTGGATGTCGACAAGGAAAGTCATTGCTGTGAATGTATCTAGCTGAAGTCCATAACTTATGCAAATTGACCTGCGTAAGGCACAATTTAGATATGTAAACGTAAAACGATGGATCAGAAAGAATGTCAATACTGAGAAGTGTGAAGTTGATAATGTGAAAATTGAAATCGCCAAATTTGCCATATTAATAGATAGACCCTGGTTTGAAGTCACCATTCCGCGTCAATCTTAAGAGAAAAAAATATACATGGAGCCGTCCGTCTAGTTTCGGTAGTATTCGTAATGTCAAGCTCACTTGTATATATGAGATTCAAGCACTCGCTTAAATATGATTGACAGGACATCCTCAACATATCTAAACTTGCAAGTCAAGAACTTGGCAAGATGTTTTTTCATTTTGCCTTCATATGACTAAAGACATGTAGGGTGCACAGTTTGAACCAAATTGAATATTAACTGTTTGTTGAAATAAAACAGATCACAATCTCACTAAAAATAACAACATATAGGTTCAATCCAACAACTCATATTTTCTCTTTTTTCTCGATATGCTAAATGTTGAAATGTAATGTGATTTTTAAATTACGATATGTATTAAAACACTTCATTGTACCTATCAAGTAGCATAGAACACAAGTAATGATGATGGGTGCGTTGTCATTCGCATATCATTATATCATTAAATAAAACAAAACAAAGAAAACACGGAAACCCCACAATCCCCAACCCACGAAAAACCCAATAAGGCAATTGTCCTGACTAATTTCTTTATTTCTATTACAGTGTTCATATAGTAGGACAGAAGAGGCACGAAGAAAAAACTAATTTGATTTCAACGACATCTATAGAATAAACTTCAAGACAATATTCATATAGTTGTTTTAAGCAATTAAAGTTGATACTGTTGTGAGGACAAATAACAAGAATTTTAATAAAGATTAATTTTAACCTGATTTTTTTAGCGGCTGTTGTTGATGGTCAAAATATTCAACACCGTACAATTTTTCTATGATTTTAATCGATTTCTACAGTTGTTTGACGTATACGAAATGTCGGTGGCTAAACTCACTAGCGATCTTAAATCTTGAGATACAATTATAGTCGTCTGATCGTGATAGTTACCAATTGTGTCCTAAATCCGATTATGACATCCGATCTCGACCCTTTTGGAGTCTATTTTTTTGTTGCCTTGGTTTGTGTTTCTATAATAGATTTACGGGATTCGAACATCGGTAAACTTATGCCGCCTTAATGTGTACCAGTTGGTTAAAGACTTGTTCAAATATTTCCTGAAACAAACTGTTGAAAATGTGGCATTCATGCTGACAACATACATTGGTCTAGGAACACTCTATCTAAATAAAAGAGTTCTAGACTTTAGATGTTTAACAACTCTTTGATGTTTATATGCTCAAAAAACCATCGAAATATTTAATTATTGTAAAACCTGGAAAAGCTGTTTCGCACTTTTATGATTATTTTTTTTATAATTTTTGTATAGTGTTTTTAATAGCATTAAAGGTATCAATTTTCTGCACCAGATGCATTTCGGCAATAAATGTCTCTTCAGTGATGCTCGTGGCCAAAATATTTGAAAATCAAAAGCTTATTAAAACGATGAAGAGCTATAAACCAAAAAATGACAAAAAAGTTTAGCCAAAGCCGGACAAGGAATCAGAGCTTTGCATAAGTTAGATATATACCTTAATTCAAAATAAATTCCAAAGTTTTGTAACAACAAGACTTGATTAAGACCCTCAAACATGCTAAGAAAACTTCCAAAAATAATACCAACATTGCTTCATTTCTAGCTACATATACTAGTATGAGCAACAGTCTACTAGCACATGTAGATATTTTGCGATACGGTGACGTGTAGAAAGAGGATAGCAATAGTGATTATTACCAAAATGATAAAAACAATGGTAACTTTTAAGTCCAATTGTTCGTGTTTATGACGTCACAGTGAAATCATAAATCACATTTCTACACAAAAGTAACTTACAGAATAGGTAACCATCGTTTATTTTTTTCTATTAACTGTTTACTTCAAATGGGGGGTTGGGGGTATTACTTTTACTTATCTTATTATACCCTGCATGCACACGGACAACACGAGCCATACAGAACCCAAAACAAAAAACGATTAATCAATCGGACCAAAACTGTAAATAGCCTAAAACAACTAATAATGAGAAAGTCAGAACAACGATACCAAAATAATCTACACAAAAAAAAGAATAAAAAAGCACCATCACTTTGAATCAAAAGACATGCCCATGAGACAATAAAAACGGACTTTTGGACATTACGAATTTTGTTATAAATATATCAGGTTCACTTGAATAAAAGATTTGACGTCAAACTCCAAGGACATAATCGTTCAATGTAAGAACATGGAATATCAGCGAAGTATATATTAAGTCATCATAGATATATTGGCTGGTTGTCAACAACTAGTGCTGCAAGTGTAAAACTTCTTCAAGGCGCCCGATCTCAATCGGTTTAGTAGTTTCTAAGACAGCTATTTTTTCTCCGGGAATATATTACCTTTTTTAACATGAGCTGTTATTTATGAGAGTAATCACCAAACGAGGTTACATCGAAGGGAAAGAAAATACCTATTTACAAATGAAATCACGAATTAAGAAGATCTAGGTATGCATCTGTCCAGCTTTTCCAAACGCTAACCTTTAATACTTGCTCTCCATGTTATATAACACTATCAAAACTAGAGGTGGACAGTTATTTAGCTGTTATATCATGCGTAGTAAAAGTCGTATTCACAACATTACACCAACCTCTTTTCCGTTTCAGCAAGAGCTGTGAACTTTTCATCTCATTCTTAAAAATAAATCTGCAAGGGAGTTGCACACATTTTAATTCAAGATTCAGTTATAATCTGATAATATCATGCTCGAAAAATGATTAAAGGGCTGCATTAGACGTAGAATGATAACAATTAAGGCAATTAAGATTTCATTTTTGACCTCATGTGTAATGCTTCTCGAATTTCATTTGCATTTTTTGATCCGAAATAGTTAATAGAAAGAATGAGCAAAACGGTAGATGACATGTGAAGCAGGATTTACTTAACCTCTCGGAGCACCTGATGTCACCCCGGTTATTGGAAGGGTTCGTGTTGCTTAGTCTTTAGTTTTTTTATGACGTGTTTTGTGGACTGTGATTTTTTCGGTTTTTATACCAAGATGTTGTCAGTCTTTATACGACTGATGAGTTTTTATTCTCCCTTTGATATCATCCGTCTCTTTAATGAAGACGTTACTGAGATCACCCACAGTTTTTATGTGGAATAGTTTATCTTTTATCTTTTAGCCATTTTCCTTTTTTTTGCCTTGGCATTATTAGTTTATCTCGACTTATTCAAATTTTGAATGTCCCTTTGATATATGCCGCCTCAACTTTACAAGAGAGGAAAAATGAACCGTAACAGATGATGGAGATTTATTTGTTGCCTGAAATACAAGATAGAAAGTGTTGCATTTTTGTCTCACATATTGCATATTTGATATCAACCTGATTTTATTTGGAAGATTGTTAACTTGCTGTGAAGCATTGGCGTTTTTCTTGAACGAGGACATTTCAAGGGTAAACTTATTGACTACCACATTAATTTCTAACTTTTATCTATGTATTTCATTAAAATAATGATTTCATGAATATGTTTTTGAAATGGAACAAACAGTTATTTCGCACTGAAACGACGCGTTCACATACTGACAAAAATACCACGTTATTATACTATATGGTTACATTGATATGTATGTACTCGTATCACATGATCAGATTAAAAATAGGATTGTTATTAGAGTATAGTATGTACTGATATGGTGTCATTGTAAAGTGATAGGATTCTGTGTCACGAGAGTAAATATTGATGTCCACATCGGTATGCTACATCACACCTGATAAATCATTGGAAGTTATGCAGAGAAAGTAGGAAACAATTCAAGAAAAGATTATTTGGATGCACTAGACAGTAACTAAGGTTTTACTTTGTTAGAACAAATATTCTTATGATCCAATTAAGTTCATCATTCTTTTGTAAGGTAAAATTTATATGTTATACTTAATCTTATATTAAGAAGAGAAAATATATTTTGATACTTTTACAGGAAGTTGAAATGAAAGACATTTTTAGAATTATTATAAAATAGCAAAAAAAAAAAAACAATTCCCCTCCCAACATAAATATATAAACTTTTTTCATTTTATAATATACAGAAAATATTAGATCGACTCTTAACATGAATGAATCTGAGGTATCTTTTATTCAAAATATGGGACGTGTTACAGACGTATATAGAAAAGGGTTTTCCCCTGATGGAAAACAGTGGATGTTCATAATTTTACTATTCATTTTTATGATGTCCGTTTTAGCAAATATTGCAAGACCTCATATTGAAACATTGTATCAACTGAATTCTCCGTTTTGTTGGAGTTCTGTTAAGATTGGCTGGTATGGTTCCATGAGATTAGGATTATCAAATGTTGGAAATCTTGCTATGATCTATCTGTTTCATCTTTGTACGACGGACGAATATATCGTTTTAGCCAGTATGCTGACTTCCTTGGTATCATTAACTATAGAAGGACAAGCCACAAACGACTTCATGTTATACTTAGGTAATTGTTATTTCATCAATTTCACTTCAAACAAAAGAAACAATACACGAACATTTGTTTTGCTGTCACTAATTTTTGCGTCTACAACTTAAATTTGAGTTTATTGAGTTATTTATAAGATATATATATAGACAAAAAACATCAATTAGATTTCAATTCAAGAACATAAGTTTAGTAATATACTGACAAAAATACCACGTTATTATACTATATGGTTACATTGATATGTATGTACTCGTATCACATGATCAGATTAAAAATAGGATTGTTACTAGAGTATAGTAGGTAATAATATGGTGTCATTGTAAAGTGATAGGATTCTGTGTCACGAGAGTCAATATTGATGTCCACATCGGTATACTACATCACACCTGATAAATCATTGGAAGTTATGCAGAGAAAGTAGGAAACAATTCAAGAAAAGATGATTTGGATGCACTAGACAGTAACTAAGGTTTTACTTTGTTAGAACAAATATTCTTATGATCCAATTAAGTTCATCATTCTTTTGTAAGGTAAAAGTTATACTTTTATACTTTTATATGTTATACTTTATCTTATTTTAAGGAGAGAAAATATATTTTGATACTTTTACAGGAAGTTGAAATGAAAGACATTTTTAGAATTATTATAAAACAGCAAAAAAAACAATTCCCCTCCCAACACAAATATAAACTTTTTTTTCTTCATTTTATAATATACAGAAAATATAAGATCGACTCTTAACATGAATGAATCTGAAGAAAAACCTCTTCTACAAACAAAGGAAAGACAAGAGAATGCAGCGATTAATCTTGGGATGCCAAGATGGCTAGCTTTAAGTTTATCCATACTGGTAACAGCACTTCACATGAGTTCAGTGGTTTTAACTATGTATGTGATGAACCAGTATTCATATCAAGCTTATATGAAGGAAAAATATCCACTTCATCACATAAATCCACCGGAGGTCAATCAGCATGTGAGCTGAACACAAGCACGATAAAATATAAAGAACAAGTCGTTATACAAAAACTTACATCAGAATTGAATATGTTTTGTAGTCTTGCTACCTACAACGTGATCGGTGTGATTTTTACTCTAAATTTAGCAACGTACAGCGATGTTAACGGAAGAATACGGTTCTTCATTGCGCCTTTTATAGGAACATTATTGAAAACGTTTCTTTGCACAATCACCATCAATTTCAATCTCAAGTTAGAATGGATCTTTTATTTTTTTGTATAGAAGGATGTACCGGGACCTGGGTTTCAACTTTGAGTATGGCATATAGCTTCATGGCAGATCTAACGGAAC